ACAAATTTTAAAGCTTCTATAAGGCCCTTAAAACTACTTTTAATAATCCACGTTTTTATGCTTTTGTAAGGCCCTTTCATATCCACGTTCGAAAGGATGTTTGAGGTCCTTTAGAAACTAACTTAAAAGCCCACGTTTTAAATCTTCTAAGAGATCCTTCTATTCGATCCTTTAAAATCTTTTATACGACCCTTCATATTAAAATTAAATAAAATTATATAAGGCACCTGAAAATTGTCGATTAAGATGCACGTTTTCGAGTTCTACTAAGGCTTTCGGTAATACTTATAAAAATTTCAAGCTCAAGAGCTGTCTTTTGATCATCGTTTCAAGACTTTGCTGAGACCCCTAAAATAATCTAAAAAACGTTTTTAAACTTTCAAAAAATGCAAAAAAAATCGATGTTTTAGGTCTTGTCCTTGTAAATAATCTTAAAAATTCACGTTCGAAAACCCGCATAAAGAGGTCTTTAAAAGAAGTCGATTAGGGTTCAGCAAAAATTTTCTAAAAATCCATGTTTAAGATCGCGTTTAAGGACCCTCAAACCATTCGTGACCCCTTAAAATTTCCCTAAAAATCCACTTTAAATCCTTTAAAAAAATCCTTAACATTTATGTTAGTGGTTCCTCGAAAAATTCTTAAAATCCAACTTTAAAAACTCCATCAAAATCGCTAAAAATATTCCAAAAAATCTCTTAAAATTCACGTTTTAGAACTCTTTTTAAGGTCCCTCAAAATATTATTTAAAATACACTTTTAAGAACTATATTGAGGTCCCTCAAAATATTCCTAGATCTTTAAGTTCAAGAACACTATAGTAATCCATCATAATATTCCTACAAATCCATGTTTGAGAACTCTATAAAAGTCCCTCAATATATTCCTAAATGTCCACCTTAAAGGGCCCTCAAAATATTCTTGAAAATCCACCTTTAAATATTCGATGAAGTTCCCTCAAAATATTCTTAAAAATCCAAATTTAATAACTATACTAAGGTAAAAAGTCCAAAAAATCCATGCTCAAGAAATATTTTTAAAAATTCATGCTTAAAAATATTATTCAGGCCAATGAAAATTCACGTTTAACAAATCTATTGGCCCTTAAAATTTTTTAAAATCCCTCAAAATATTCTTAAAAATCAACCCTTAAGAACTCGTTGAAGGTCCCATTAGGGTCCCTCAAAAAAGTCTTAAAAATCCACGTTGAAGAGTCCTATTAAGACCCCTAAAATATTATTTAAAATCCACGTTTAGGACAGCATTAGCCCCTTAAAATGTTCTTAAAATTTTACATTCAGACACTCTATTAAAACCCCTAAAAATAATCATAGAAATCCACGTTTACAAACTCCATAAAAGTCCCGCAAAATATTCCTAACTAACCACGTTAAAGGGCCCTCAAAATATTTTTGAAAATCCAACTTCAAATACTCGATGAAGTGCCCTCAAAATATTCTTAAAAATCCGCCTCAATATATTCCTAAATGTCCACCTTAAGGGGCCCTCAAAATATTTTTAAAAATACTACTTTAAATACTCGATGAAGTTCCCTCAAAATCCACATTTAAAACTCTACCCAGGCACATTTTTTTTTTCAACCAAATTTGGTTAATATTAGTGAATGAAAAATTATGCATTTCAATAGTTGGTTAAGCCCCTTTTTCTGATTTGTTCTGTGTGGGTGTTAAGTCATCGTCAGTCATATGACTGACTGGCTGACTGACTATCTTTTAACCATATATACATTTTTTTTGTTTCATAAATTTTCATGAGACGTTAATTTAACAGAACATTTAAATGCAAATGCAGTTCAATAAACCAAAAAAAAAAAAAAGAAAAAAATAAAACGAAACACACGAAATTTACATAAAAGTATTTTCTAGTTTCTTAACTTGTTGTAAGTTGTAAAATTTGTTTTACAACACTTTTTTCGTGTGTGTGCGTATATCTCTGTGAGGTAACAAACCCATAATTGTGGGTTGTTGTTGCATTGCTTAGTATTTAGTTGGCTTTTTTTTCAATACAAAGTTTTGAATTTGAAGTGCAGGTGTAGACGTTTTATTTTTTTTTGGTCGTGCTTGAGTAATATTGATTAGCAATAGCAAATGAAGTATTGCATGAAATATTGAAAAATATTGGAATTGAAATATTTTTTATTTTTAAATTAGGAATTTAGAATGGATTCTTCTTTATCTTAGAAGGCCTTTAAAAAGATCTTCAAACCAGAGATGGCATTTCTTTATTTCTTTATATATCATCGTGCCTCATCGAAATAACGGTTTTTGACCCTACGTCTCTTTGGAGCAAATCCGTTTCAGGACATTTGGAGTCGATCTAGAAATGTCCATCCGTCCGTCTGTCTGCCTCTCTGTCTTTTGCGCACCATAACTCTCGAGGGAGTGCACAGAAAGTGAAAGGATAATCCGACTTGGCTCCAACTTTGCAAATCATAATATTTGCATTAGTGCTAGGTCAGGTGAAAAAATGGAAAATACCGGTCCACTCCATCAAGTACCACCCCCACAAAGGGTCAACATTTTGAATATTCCTGAAGCTCATAAAACTCCAAATTAACAGCTGATTTCATTCGGACTTGGCACATCTTAATATTTCTATCAACACAAGATCTGTTATAAAGATGGAAGGAATCGGATCATGTCTTCTGGTACCTCCCCCCCAAAGGATCGAAGTTTTCAATAACCAAAACGATCATAAAATCCGAAATAAGCATTTGGTTCGCTTCAAATTACACACATCACAAAATTTTTATTAAGCCAAGGTCAGATGTGAAAATGGGATTTATTGGTCCACTCCTTCTGGTACCCCCCTCCCAAAGGATCGAAGTTTTGACTAACCAAAATGATCATAAAATACGAAAAAAGCATCCGGATCCCTTCAAGTTACACACATCACAATATTGGATATATCGGCCCACTCTTTCTGGTACATCCCCCCAAAAAGGGTGAAAATTTTGAATATCCATGAAATTCATAAAAAGCACGAAATTAACATTCGATTCTATTCAGACTTGGTACATCTCAATATTTGCATCAACACAAGATCTGTTATAAAGATGGTAGAGATCGGACCATTCCTTCTGGTACCTCCCTCACAAAGGGTGAAAATTTTGAATATCCATGAAGATCATAAAACGCGAAATTGCCATCCGATTCAATTCAGACTTGGTATATTTCAATATTTTCATCAAAACAAGATCTGTTATAAATATGGTAGAGATCGGACCATTCCTTCTGGTACCACCCCCACCAAGGGTCAAAATTTTGAATAACCAAAATGATCATTAAATCCGAAATAAGCATCTGGTTCGCTTCAAATTACACACATCACAGTGGTTTTATTAATCCAAGTTCTGATGTGAAAATTGGATATATCGGTCCACTCCTTGTGGTAGCTCCCCCACAAAGGGTCAAAATTTTGAGTAGCCATGAAGCCTTTAAAGCGCGAAATTGCCATCCGATTCAATTCAGGCTTGGTATATTTCAATATTTTCATCAAAACAAGATCTGTTATAAATATGGTAGAGATCGGACCATATCTTCTGGTGGCACCTCTCCCACACAGAGTTCTAGATTTTGAAAACCAAAACGTTCAAACGAAATAACCATAGCGAAATAACCATCCAACTCTCTTCAATTTTCACACGGACAAACATTTTTGCTAACACAAGATCTGTTGTTAAGATGGTAGATATCTGCCAACCCCTTCTGGTATCTCACCCACAAGTGGTCACAATTTTCAATAATTTTATCTGTCATAACTTGCGAAACAAGTCAGCGATTCTCTATATCTGAATCTAAATATCTCCATATCTAAATATTTCTCTCAACCAGAAATCTGAGATGAGTGTGGAATTTATGATTTCGCATAAAATTGGTTATGAAAATTTGGATTCTCTTGTAATCTTGTCCATACCAATATTTTTATTTGTATTAAATGAAGTATGAAAATGGAATACATCGGCCTACGATATCTGGTACCTCTCGCAGATTTTAACATTTTTTAAAAATTATCACATATTTCATACAAAGTGATTTCATACAAAGGATCGATCCAAAATGGACAGTATTGGCCCATTCCTTTGGAACCTACTCCATATAAGGTCAACAATTTAAATAATCATAACAGGAGTCAAAATTTGGCTGAGTTTATACATCTGTCGGCAAAACCGACTGATACTTTTTAACTTGTTTTTCTATCTCTCGGATTTCAAAACTCCAATTACCTTCTATGCATTATTTCACAACGCCATAAATACCCCTCCCGTTTTTTAACATTTTCACATTTTTCATTTTAACATTTTCTAAAAATATAGGAAGTAACCGATATAGTCCAAACAGGGCATATTTATATATTTATTTAGGTCCGATACGAAATAGACAATATTGGCCTATTCCTTCGGAACCCACTCCATAGAGGGTCAACAATTTTAATAATCACAATCAGAAGTCAAAATATATTTAAATAATCGAACATTGGCTGAGGGTATACATCTGTCGGCAAAACCGACAGATACTTTTTAACTCGATTTTCTATCCATCGTATTTCAAAACTCCAATTACCTTCTATGCAATATTTCACAACGCCATAAATACCCCTCCCGTTTTTTGTTTTTCTTTTTTTTAATCATTTCTTGCATCAAAATCACGTATCGTATTTTTGTTTTTTTATTTTATGATTTATATTTAAAAGAAAATATACAAAAAAAGTCTACCTGTTGCACTTCCGGCAATTTAATTCATTCACGATTATTGTGAGGTCTACTTTGTTACCTCTTCTTTATTGCTCTCCCTCTCACTCTCTCTTACTCTCTGACTCATGCAAAGACCATCGTTTTTTAAACATATTCATTAGACCATACAAATTTGTTTACTAATTTTTTTTTATTACCTTGATTTCATAATTGTTTTTTACGAAAAAAATTTAAAATTTACATTTTTTTACTAATTCCCTCCCTCTTTTCCGTTTCTTCTTCTTTACAGGGTGATCGTACAACATGGGAGTACCACACAGTGTCGGTAACTCGTGTGCCGGGCTATGGTTTTGGTATTGCCGTTTCCGGTGGTCGTGATAATCCACATTTTGCCAATGGTGATCCTTCAATTGCCGTTTCAGATGTCTTAAAAGGCGGACCGGCCGAGGATCGTTTACAGTGAGTAGAAAAACAATAACAACAAAAATATGATGAATCACTGAGAAAAAGACAATGGAAACTAACATTCACACATGGTTTTCCTATGTCAAGCCTTAGTTTTTCTTTTTTCTAAATTCCTTTGACTCCCTCAACATTTTGTTGGGAATTGAATTTTATTATTTTTGTTTTTGTTTCTTATTTTTAAATATTAAACACAAGTGTTTTGTTATTTACATACATGTGTTGTATTTTGGTAGTCAGCCGCTTGTTAAGAATTTCCCCATTTCCTTTGGTGTCAAGGCAGATTCGAGATAGGAAGTAAAAGAGCCATTAAGCACGTTTTATGTGCGGCTGTCATCGGCAGGTACAGCCAGCCTATTTTAATGTGGGTGTTAACTGTCAGGAAAATTTTGAAATGTTCTTTTGATTTTCAAAATTATTTTGTAATAGGAAATACTGCCTTTGAGAGCTGTTTTATGTTGCTCTTTTGACTTGTCATTTGCATTTAATATTTTACGTGAGGAAATGGGAGAGGATTGGAATTTGGAAATGGAAACTGAAGTATTTAACAAATAAAGGATTGTTGAACAATAAATGTGGGACAATTTTTTTTTTCAAAAAATCAGAAAAAAGATTTTCTCCTAAAAAATCTACGAAAATATTTTTTCAAAAATCCACAAATATATATTTTTAAAAAAATCGACATAATAACACTGTGTGACAAAATCCAAGTTTTCAATAACTGGAGAAAGAACCCAGCAGAAGTTAAGAAGTTGTTAGAAAGTATCAGTCGGTTTTGTGTACAGATATAGGCACATAGCTTCATGCCCGTGAAGATAAATTTTAAAATATAAATGCAATGTGTTGGTGCGCAAGGGGTTAATTGAAAAATAGTTTGTTTTTTAATATTAATGATTTTTACCACTTTTTTTTTGGATAAATCAACGTATTTTTAAATTAATTTAAATTAAATTAATTAATTAAATTAATTTAACAGGAAAATGACACAATTTCCCGACGAGGACGAATAACCAGAGTGGTGTTGGCGGTAGGGGAACTGCATGGAAAATGCTGAATTGCACAAAAACTATGCTAGCTGCGTCATTGAGGCGGGTCTTAAATGAAAGGTCTCGAGGAGTACTTTCTGGCTATATATGCCTTATATTCCCAACTGATTTCAGATAATCGAATTTTTTCGATTTTCTAACCAAAGTGGCGGTTTCGGTAGGGTAACTGCATGGAAAATGCTGAATTGCACAAAAACTATGCTAGCTGCGTCATTGAGGCGGGTCTTAAATGAAAGGTCTCGCGGAGTACTTTCTGGCTATATCTAAAATGAAAGGTCTCGAGGAGTACTTTCTATTCCCAACTGAATATAAGGCATATATAGCCAGAAAGTACTCCTCGAGACCTTTCATTTAAGACCCGCCCGCAGCTAGCATAGTTTTTGTTCAATTCAGCATTTTCCGTGCAGTTTCCCTAATATTGGCCTATTCCTTCGGAACCTACTCCATAGAGGATCGACAATTTAAATAATCATAACAGAAGTCAAAATATATTTAAATAATCGAATATTGGGTGAGGTCAAGGATAAGAAGCTATGATGCCCGTGAAGATAAATTTTAAAATATAAATGCAATGTGTTGGTGCGCAAGGGGTTAATTGAAAAATAGTTTTTTTTTAATATTAATGATTTTTACCACTTTTTTTTGGATAAATCAACGTATTTTTAAATTAATTTAAATTAAATTAATTAATTAAATTAATTTAACAGGAAAATGACACAATTTCCCGACGAGGACGAATAACCAGAGTGGTGTTGGTGGTAGGGAAACTGCATGGAAAATGCTGAATTGCACAAAAACTATGCTAGCTGCGTCATTGAGGCGGGTCTTAAATGAAAGGTCTCGCGGAGTACTTTCTGGCTATATCTAAAATGAAAGGTCTCGAGGAGTACTTTCTATTCCCAACTGAATATAAGGCATATATAGCCAGAAAGTACTCCTCGAGACCTTTCATTTAAGACCCGCCCGCAGCTAGCATAGTTTTTGTTCAATTCAGCATTTTCCGTGCAGTTTCCCTACCGAAACCGCCACTTTGGTTAGAAAATCGAAAAAATTCGATTAACAGAAATCAGTTGGGAATATAAGGCATATATAGCCAGAAAGTACTCCTCGAGACCTTTCATTTAGGACCCGCCTCAATGACGCAGCTAGCATAGTTTTTGTGCAATTCAGCATTTTCCATGCAGTTTCCCTACCACCAACACCACTCTGGTTATTCGTCCTCGTCGGGAAATTGTGTCATTTTCCTGTTAAATTAATTTAATTAATTAATTTAATTTAAATTAATTTAAAAATACGTTGATTTATCCAAAAAAAAGTGGTAGAAATCATTAATATTAAAAAAAAACTATTTTTCAATTAACCCCTTGCGCACCAACACATTGCATTTATATTTTAAAATTTATCTTCACGGGCATCATAGCTTCTTATCCTTGACCTCACCCAATATTCGATTATTTAAATATATTTTGACTTCTGTTATGATTATTTAAATTGTCGATCCTCTATGGAGTAGGTTCCGAAGGAATAGGCCAATATTGACCATTTCGTATCGGATTTAAATAAATGTGATATAAATGTTCCAACGTACCAGGTTTGGACTATATCGACTATTTGATAATTTTTACAAAATGTTAAAGTGTGCATGAGGTCCAGATAAAGTCGACCGAAGTATTCCATTTTCATACGACATCTAATACGGAAAAAAATATTGGCATGGGCAAAATTATAAGAAAATCGAATATTTATATCTAATTGTATGCGAAACCATAAATTCCATATTCGTTTTGGGTTTCTGTTTGGGAGGAATATTTAGATATATCAAGTTATAAAGAATCGCTGGCTTGTTTCGCAAGTTATGACAGATAAATGAATTAAAAATTGGTAGCCTTTGGGGGTGAGGTACCAGAAGGGGTTCGCAGATACATCTCATCTTCACAACAGATCTTGTGTTAGCAAAAATATTTGGATAAGTGAAATTTGAAGAGAGTTGGATGCTTATTTCGCTTTCTTTGGGCGTTTTGCTTTTCAAAATCTTGAACTCTGTGTGGGGGAGGTGCCAGAAGAAATATTCCGATCTCTTTATAACAGATCTTGTGTTGATGGAAATATTGTGATGTGCCAAGTCTGAATGGAATCGGATGTTAATTTTGCGTCTTATGAGATTCATGGATATTCAAAATGTTGACCCTTTGTGGGGGAGGTACCAGAAGGAATAGACCGATATATCCCATTTTCGCACCAAACATTGGATTTATAAAAATATTGTGATATGTGTAATTTGAAGAGAACCAGATGCTTATTTCGATTTTAATGATCGTTTTTGTTATTCAAAATATCGGCCCTTAGTGGGGGAGATACCAGTAGGAATTGCCCGATCTACACCATCTTTATATCAGATCCTGTGTTGATGGAAATATTGTGATGTGCCAAGTCTGAATGGAATCGGATGTTAATTTCGCATTTTATGGATATTCAAAATTTTGAACCCTTTGTGGGGGACGTATCAGAAGGAGTGGACCGATATATCCCACCTTCACAGCAGATCTTGTGTTAGTAGAAATAATGGGATATGTGAAATATGAAAGGGAACCGGATGCTTAATTCGGATTTTATGATCGTTTTGTTTATTCAAAACTTTGAGCCTTTATGGGCGAGGTCCGATCCGATTTCTACCATCTTTATAACAGATCTTGTGTTGATGGAAATATTGAGATGTACCAAGTCCGAATGGAATCGGATGTTAATTTGGCCTTTTATGAGCTTCAGGAATATTCATTATTTTGACTCTTTGTGGGGGAGGTACCATAAGGAGTGGACCGATATGTTCCATCTTCTCACTAGACCTTGGGTTAATACAAATATTATGCTGTGTGTAGCTTGAAGATAATCGGACACATACATTACATTTTATAAAACTATAATTATTCAAAATTTGGACCCTCTGTGAGGGAGGTACTGGATGGAGTGAACCGATATTGTCCATTTTCGCACCTGACCTAGCACTGATTGAAATATTACGATTTGCAATGTTAGAGCAAAATTGGATGATCCTTTCTCTTTCTGCGCAGTAAATTATTTTCTTTGAAAATTTTGATATTTTGTGGGGAAGGTACCAGAAGAAGTGGACCGATATTGCCCATCTCCGAACTCGATCTATGTTTGATAATAATATTACGATGTACCAAGTTTGGATCAAATCGGTAACTCCCTTCGAGAGTTATCTTTCGCACCAGCCAGACAGATAGACAGATGGACGGACGGACATCATTAAATCGACTCTAAATGTCCTGAAATGGATTTGTTCCAAAAAGACCTAGGGTCTAAAACCGTTATTTTGATGAGACACGTTTTGGCCGTACCAAATTATATATACCCTTTGTAGCCATATGGCTGAGGGTATAACAATTCTTAATGAACAACTAAATACTATGTCTAGAAAATTTTCCTTGTTCCAGAAAATTTTCTCAAAAATCCACGATTGTTCAAAAAAATAGAGAAAAGCTCAAAAATTGACTATTCTCTACTTTTGACGTCTTAGTGAGAATTTTGGTTCTATTGAAAATTCTTCGATTTTTTTACACAATACCACTGGTAAAAGAATTTAGTACTTCTCATACACTTATGGTTAGATTTTGGGCAAATTTCCAACTACGTGATTCTTTTAGGAACGAGAGAGGTCTTCCCTCTTTTGATATCTATTTTTTGTGTATCTTGCCAACGGTTTTCAAAATTCTTCTTTGGCCAAAGCAACTAAGTTTATTGGCCAAGATTTTTGGTTTTTTTTTATAACTTCCAAATAAACGATGAAAAAAAAAGGTTTGTGAAGTGCAAATACCCATACTTTAAATCCTCTTAATTATTTTCAATGAAGCATTGAAAAAATATTTTCTTTTTTTTTTTAAATCTTCCAAAAAATATGTCACAGTACCATAAAACACATCATTAATAAACGTACGGAAGCGTAGAGACGCTGTTGTTTATGATGATGATGCGTAACACCGGGCCAGACAATTGCTATGCGTAACATCGTCATCGTTTGTCTTGTATGGCAAATTAAGATAACAACTCGTTAAAGAAGACAACAACAACAAAAATATTAAATCTCAAATACAAATGTTGGGTGTAAGTACACTTACAACATCTTACACTGCATTATTATTTTGAGGTTATAATTGTGTAATTAAGGTATATGTGTATAATATTGAGGTTATGGAAGACTTTTATCTTCTCCAGGGGGAAAATACAAATAAATGAAGAGATGATAACAAGAGGGCTTTTAATAAGCTATTTAAGGGGAAGTGAGTTTATAAAGCATTTTCACTTGTCATTGGAAAGGGTGTTATAATATGGTGCTACTTCAAAGTAGGTGTTGGTATAGAAATGTTGGTGATTAAAAATTTCTAGAAATTTTTTAAAAATCGTGAAATTTTGACTAGAAACAAAATTTGTTTAAGTTTGAAAACTTAAGGAATTTATATAATACCAAGTAAAAAAAGCTAAAGTGGGCCGGGCCGGACTTTTAATATCCCTACACCATTTTGAAAAAAACAAAATGTACAAAAACAAGTAAAAGAGTATCAGTCGGTTTTGCCGACAGATGTAAACACCCGATGAGTTATGATTATTCAAACTGTTGATCCTTTATGGGGAATGTTCCGAAGCAGTTGGCCAATATTGTTCAATTCGTATCTGACATAAGTCTGATATAACAACGTGCCAGATTTGGACTATATCGTCTACTACCTCTCTACTTTATATGAGATATTTCCAAATTTTTGGAAAATGTGGAAATATGCGCAAGGTACCAGATATAGCGGTCCGATATAATCCACTTCATCTAATACAGCTAAAAATATTGGTATGTGCAAAATTTAAAGGAAAATTTAGGAATAGCAAGTTGTATAGAATCGCCGACTTGTTTCGTAAATTCTGACCCTTTGTGGGTGAGGTACCAGAAGGGGTTGGCAGATATATATCATCTTTATAACAGATATTGCGTTAGCAAAAATATTTGGATGTGTAAAATTTAAAGAGAGTTGTACGCTTATTTTGCGTTTTTTGAGGGTTTTGTTTTTCAAAATGTTGAACCCTTTGTGGGGGAAGTACCAGAAGAAATATTCCGATCTCTAACATCTTTATAACAGATCTTGTATTGATGGAAATATTAAGATTTGCCAAGTCTGAATGAAATGGTATGTTAATCGAATGTGTTAGGAGCTTCATAGGTATGCAAAATGTTGACCCTTTGTGGGGGAGGTACCTTGCGGTAATAAAAATATTGCGATGTGTGAAATTCGAAGAGAACCGGATGCTTATTTAGGATTTTATGATCGTTGTGGCTATTTAAAATTTTGAACCTTTGTGGGGGATGTACCAGAAGGTTTGGTCCGATCTCTACCATCTTTATAACAACACATGTGTTGATGAAAATATTGAGATGTGCCAAGTCAGAATGGAATCGGATGTTGATTTCGCATTTTATGAGCTTCTTGGATATTCAAAATTTTGACCCTTTGTGGGGGAGGTACCAGAAGGAGTGGACCGATATATTCCGTATTTACACCAGGCCAAGGGTTAATAAAAATATTCTGATGTGTGTAATTTGAAGACATTCGGACACTAACATCACATTTCATAAGAGTTATAATAATTCAACATTTTTATTTATTTATTTTATTTATTCAATATTTCGTAACACAGAAGCCTTTCTAGGCCAAAAATAACATTGCAATGTAATATTACCAATTTTGACCCTTTTTTTGTGGAGGTACCAGAAGGAGTGGACCGATACTGTAAATTTTCGCCTCTGACCTATCTCTGATGCAAATATTATGATTTACAAAGTTGGAGCAACATCGGGTTATCCTTTCTCTTTCTGTGCAGTAAAATATTTTTTTGAAAATTTCGAATTTTTGCGGGGTGGTACCAGAAGGAGTGGACCGATATTGCCCGTCTCCGAACTCGATATAAGTTTACGATGTACCAAGTTTGGATCAAATCGGATACTTCCTTCGAGAGTTACCGTACGCACCAGCCAGACGGACGGACGGACATCGCTAGATCGACTCCAAATGTCCTGAAACGGATTTGGTCCAAAGAGACCTAGGGTCTAAAACCGTTATTTCGATGAAGCATGTTTTGGCCGTATCAAAAGATATATATCCTCTCTAGCCATATGACTGAGGTTATAACTTGCCATATGGCTGAGGTAATAATCTTCCATTTGGAAGAAACAAAATGCTTTAAAAAACCCTTGAAATATGCTGTTAGAATTTTAAAAGTTCTGAATATCAGATATTACAGTTATATGAGACCATACTAAAAAAGTGGACCTTTAAATTTATCTGCCAAAAAAGAATAACAAACTCCAAACATCAAGTTTAAAAAACCTGAAATATAAATATTAAAAAATTCATGATTTCCTTTTGAGTTTAATATTCAAAACCCTCCCTTTCCATTAGATATTTTGCAAAACTCTCTCTCTCTCTCTCTCTCTCTCTCTCGTGTCAATGAACCCAAGGTGACAAATTACACCAATTACACAAAATTCCTCCCCCTTCTCTAAAAAAAGTCACCAGGATAAACATCACTCCTCCCTTCGTTACTCCATTTCCGCTCAATATTTTTAACAAAAAAAAACCTTATCTTAATCTGTTTCTTGTCTCATTGGCACTAAATAAATCTCGACTATTTTTCTGTTGTTGTTTTCTCTTCAATTTCTTCATCTCGTATTGTTTGTTTACATTCTCTGATATTGTCTTTTCATTAACGTTAAACCAAAAGGCAATGCCAGTGTAAACATCTTGAGAGTAAACAAAACCGTAGATAAGAAGTTTGTTAAATTAATTAAATAGAAAAAGTCAGGAGGCCTGAAATGAATGTTAAGAAAGCGGAAAAGAACATAAACAAGCCAAGTTTTTTTATTACTACCTTAAACAAATCTGGAATTTTCAATTTAAACAAATGGGCCGTGCATCAAGATAGGGAAGGCAAAGAGGGTTGAGGAGAAAAAAAAAATAAATAATAAATACAAAAAAATTTAGACTTGGGTAGATATGTGAAAAAAATTAATTGTTAGATCGACTTTAGAAAACATATTTTCAAAAAATTGGATCTCTGACAGAAAATGTTTTAAAAAATTTTTCGTAAATAAAAAAAAAAATAATTTCATCTGTAGGCTAAAAACAAACTAAACCAGTAAAAAAAGGTTAAAAGTCGGGCGAGTTTGACAATATAATACCCTGTAGCCCCATGCATATTTAGTGGAGCCATGAAGTAGTTGGTATGAATTACTTCATACTATGAACCCTTTTTGGATGTGTATTATGGCTTCAGAGCAGTTATAAATTGAAATCGGAGGAAACTATAATACATGGGAGTTATATCCAACTTATAATAAGTTTCCACCAAATTTGACGGAGGCCTTTGTACCTCTAGTCATCGATTTGCTTGCTTCTATGCTGAACTCGGTCCAATTCGGACCTATATTGACCATTTGGTGAACGATAAACTCGTAATCGGATGAAGGCATATACTGGATGTATATCCAAATCTGAATCGATCTCGATAAAATTTGGCTTAAGTATTTCTGAGCTGTATGAGATATCTGCTACCAAATTTCATTGTTGTGGAGTCCATATTACGAATGTGGAGGACTTAAACATCAAATCGGATGAAACATATATATGGGACATACGACTATATCTTAACCGATTTTTACCAAATTATTATCTCGGTCGTAAGTGACAAAATCCCTTCAATTCGGACCTATATTGACCATTTTGTGCACAATAAACGTAAAATCAGCTAAAGATATGTTTGGGATCTCTATACAAATCTGAACCGAATTTGATAAAATTTGGCAAAGGTTTTTCTGAGCTGTATCAGGTATTGGCTATCATATGTTATTTTTGTGGAGTGCATAGTACGAATTTGAGGGTCTCAAACTCCAAATCGGATGAAACATATATTTTGGGAGCTAAAGACATATGAACCGATCTTCAACAGATTTGAAGTACTTCCTTCTAGGCTAAATTCGGTTGGATGTGTCGAAATCCACTCCATTTGATTTTAACCATTTGGTGCACAATAAACGTGAAATCAGATAAAGATATATATGGGATCTATATCTAAAACTGAACCGATTTTGGCCAAGGTATCTCTGAGCTGTATAGAATATCGGCTACCAAATATTATTGTTGTGGAGTGCATATTGCAAATGTGTGGGACTTAAACACCAAATCGGATGAAACTTATATAAGGGGGCTAAGTCATATCTGAACCGATTTTAACAACATTTATGGCACTTCCTTCTAGGCAGAATACGCGAGCAGGATTGCACGAGGAGTGGGAGTTTTTACGGAGTCTTCTCTTAGCTCTTTTATTTTGAGCGTGGGAGCACTCCCGAGCCACTCCTGTTTGAAAAATTAGAATAACAGCAGAAACCGTCAAAATATAGCAAGAGTTGGCTCTAAGAGTGTAAATAAGTGGCAAGAGTAGGATCCGATGCTCCCAATCAAAAATGGTAAAAACATGCTCACTCTCCTATTCGAGCGACATCGAAAAATTGATTTTCAGGTCTCAGGTGTGCTCCCACTCAAATTCGAGTGAGTTTCATTCTTTGTACAAATTCCAGCGAATTTTTCCAGGTCCGGTTATATAGTAATACCCTGTTCCACAGTTTGGCGTAAGGTATAAACAAATTCTCGAAAAAAGTGCTTTAATGTGATTAGGATATTGAAAACATTTCCCTACTATAGCTCAAATTCGTTACTTTTTTCAATTTTAATTTTTATGTCAAACCTTCATTCCGCTCATCGAAATCTTATTTTTCTCCAGTAACCCTTTACAATACTTCCCTTTTTTCTGCGAAAAAGTCAATAGAAACACTAATTAATGTTTTTTCTCTCCTCTCTCTCTCTTCTTCTTTGCAGAGTCAATGATCGCATTATTTCCGTCAATGGTGTGTCACTTGAAAACGTCGAATACGCCACAGCTGTACAAGTTTTACGTGACAGTGGTAATACCGTAACATTGGTGGTGAAACGACGAGTTCCACTCAATACAGTCATAGCAAATCAACAACAACAACAGCAACAACAACAAATGCAGCACCAGCAACAACAACACAATATGAATGGCTTAAATTCTATGCCACAGACGAATGGCATCAATTCGATGGTGGTGCCACCCAATCCCACAGCCATGAGTCAGCCAAATTCCCTGAATTCATCATTGGTCCAGGCCACTGGTCCAGGAATGGGTCAACCCATCAAAGTGACTCTAACGAAAAATTCGAAAAAAGAAGATTTTGGCATTGTACTCGGATGTCGGCTCTTTGTCAAGGAAATCTCATCAAAAGCTCGTGATCAATTGGCTGCCAATGGCTATTCCCTGCAGGAGGGTGATATTATTACACGCATACACAACACGAACTGTGCCGACACGATGAGTCTGAAGGAGGCCAAAAAGATCATTGATGGCTGTAAGGAACGTTTAAATTTGGTGGCCTTGCGTGATATAACCAATCAGCCGCCGATCACGGTGGTCAATCAGCTGAATAATTCCAGTGCAACCCAGGCGAACATTTATGGTACCCATCAACCTCAGCTATCAAATTGTAGCAATAATTTAGATGATCCCTATTTGAATGGTGGTGCCACATATTCCTCACAGAATCTATATGTCCAACCGCCTACCAGGACGCCCAATAATGGACCCATGAATGGGCTGATGGATGAGAAAAGTAATTTGACGCCACGTGGAAGATCAAGGGGACCCATTATGGAGGGTGTGTCACTGCAACAACTGGATAGGCCTGTGACACCAACAAATGGCCAGGGAGGACGTTCGCGCATTGATGAACCACCCAGGCCACCACCACCAAGAGCTGGTGGAGGTGGACCAGCCGTTAATGGCGGTGAGGATTTCTACAGCTCCAGACGCCAACTCTATGAAGATGATCCCCTGACAAGATCACGCCAGTCCTCTGAGCCTCGTTTTATATCATTCCAAAAAGAGGGTAGTGTTGGAATACGCCTTACCGGTGGCAATGAGGCTGGCATTTTTGTCACTGCCGTCCAGCCGGGCTCACCAGCCTCTCTACAGGGTCTAACGCCGGGTGATAAAATCCTCAAAGTCAACGATATGGATATGTTGGGTGTAACCCGCGAAGAGGCTGTACTCTTCCTACTCTCCCTGCAAGATCGTATCGATCTCATTGTCCAGTACTGCAAGGAGGAATACGACGAAGTGGTAAACAATCAACGTGGCGATTCGTTCCACATTAAAACACATTTCCATTGCGATAATCCTTCTAAAGGTGAGATGGCTTTTAAAGCTGGTGATGTCTTCCGTGTCATTGATACGCTGCATAATGGTGTGGTGGGTTCGTGGCAAGTGTTGAAAATTGGTCGTGGCCATCAGGAAATGCAGCGGGGTGTTATACCGAACAAATCGCGGGCCGAGGAGCTGGCAACGGCACAATTTAATGCTACCAAAAAGGAGATGAATGCCAGCGAGTCAAGGGGCAATTTCTTCCGGCGAAGGAGGTGAGTATATCTCTTTATTTTTGTATCTTTTTCAATATTTCAATATTTTTTTGTTTTTTTTTTTACAGATCCACCCATCGCCGTTCCAAGAGCTTGTCTCGAGAAAACTGGGACGATGTTGTGTTCTCCGATAGCATTTCGAAATTCCCAGCCTATGAGAGGGTGGTGCTACGCCATCCCGGCTTTGTGAGACCCGTTGTTATATTTGGTCCCATTGCCGATTTGGCTCGTGAAAAGTTAGCCAAGGATTATCCCGACAAATTCTGTACACCGCTGCAGGATGATGACAAAACGACCAATTCCAAATGTCGCATTGTACGTCTCTCAAATATTCGTGACGTCATGGATCGGGGCAAACATGCCCTACTCGACATAACCCCCAATGCTGTGGATCGCCTGAATTATGCTCAATTCTATCCGATTGTCATATTCCAAAAGACCGATAGTAAACATGTTATCAAACAACTACGTCAAGGCATGCCCAAGTCGGCACACAAAAGTTCCAAGAAGCTGTTGGAACAGTGCCAGAAACTGGAACGTGTATGGTCTCATATCTTTAGTACACACATTGTGTTGAACGATGAGGAGAGTTGGTATCGTAAATTACGTGATGCCATCGATCTGCAACAGAGCGGTGCCGTTTGGATGTCAGAAACTAAGGTGAGTTGTTTGTTATTTTGTTGTTATTATTTTTTCTTTATTCTAAATAGTCTAATAGATGTCGTCAATGAATGTCGTCGTTGTCGTGATTTATTTATTTTTTTTTTTTTATTTATTTTGAAAAACAAAAATTATTAAAAATATTTTTTAGTTTCTTTTTTAATGGTAGTCTCTTTTAATTTTGTGTAGTGCCTTTTTTGTTAACTCAATTGGTGAAGGGTTTTCTTTTTTTCTAATGTTTTAAATGGATTTTTTAGTTTTTTTTTATATATATATATATATATAATATTGGCATGTTATAAACATAGTAATATTGATGTTGTATATATTAAACAATATAAATATTAATAATGAAATACTTATTTATTTTTCTATTCAGTTTTTGAAACAATGAATTAGAGTAAATATTAGGAGGAGAGACTTAGAACATTAGATAGATTTTTTTAATTTATTTGTTCTAAACTCAAAATAGTTGGTGAATTAGACGTAAAGAGAAAAAACTCCACCATGGTTGTTAGGTTAGACTTTTTTAAATCGCTTACGTTTGAAAACCAAGCTAAGAGTCTGTATAAGTTAGAAATTCGAAACTCCCTAAAATAGGCTACGTTTTTTACTCTGATGGCAGTTAACATCATTTCCCAGTTGCCCAAAACATATGACCACTTAAAACGATTTTTTTCTTTTTATGGAGAAGGGCTTGTGTGTCCAATGGATAGCGTAGTTGTCTATATGAGACATGGCTAACTTGCTTGCAGTCTCAATTCTTCTACCTTTCAATTTGTTCCAGAATGCTGATAATCAGGGTTTTAGAGGAACATACCCATCATAGTTGTTAGATTTAAACTTTATATTTTTTTGGATTTAATGGAGAAGGATTTAAGTGCTGAATAAATAGCGTGATTGTGTACATAAACCATGGCTTTCCAATTGCAGTCTCTATTCTTTCACTGATCAATAATCTACTATTATTTGTTATTAAATTGAGAGGAACTTGAGCTACTTAAAGGCAGCCTGGCTGTAAGGAGTTTGAATCAGTAAACCGCCCTATATTTGTTTGGTTGTAAAACCCCAAATACAAACCCGAAAATACCGGAAAAAACAAAGCATAAATTTAATTTTCAATCTTCATAAAAGTTCGGTTTATTAATTAAAACCCGTTCCAAAATGACAATAACCTTTATATGAGAGACTGTTAGCAAGTAAGTTGTAAAGAGAAGCCAAAGAAGTTTCAAGGCGAACTTAGCGAATAGGCTCTTAGGAAAGACATGGGAAATTTCGAGACCCGTACGGTTTTTAATCGAGACATTCATTTAACAGGCAGGGTTTTCCTGAGGCAATATTCCTAACGTAAAAACCCTAAAGTAGCAAAGGGTTAAGGAAGGAGTGCCTCATTAGCCATGTCAAATCGATCTGTGACATGATGACCATGTCAGATTTCCACTTAAAATTATGTTAGGGTTTAATGGCAGTGGTGGACTGATAGCGTAGTTGTTTACATAACTGATTTATTTGTAGTTTTCTATTCTTCCGCCGATCTATAGTTTACCAGTTGATATTGAAATGAAATTGAGCTCCTTGAGTTCCACATTTCAAAGACTATCAAAATTGCCTTGATATCGATCTTTCGCTGATGACACCAGCTCTTCTTGTCCGCTCCTTCATATCTGATCCAATCTATTTTCAAGGAGAATAAGAGTTTCCGAAATGGGTCTGCTCTGCAAGATATTTTAGGAACGATAATGTCATCTATCCTGAAGTTTTCAGCCCGTCTCATGCAAAAGACCACAGAGACATATCTAGTTCCCAGAAAAGTAATTAATAGGTCTTCTTAAGCCGTGTCTATCCTTCCAGTCTTATATGAAAATACTTTCTATGAGAAGACCTTCCGTAAGAAGACTTTTTATGATATGACGTGATGGTCTCCTATGAGACAACCTATGAATCTGGACTTCCCAGGGACGATAATCAGGTTTTACAAGAGAAGAATTTCTGGACTACTAAGAGAAGGCCTTTTGTTCCCCAGAGATGATTATATCACAGAAAAGTAATTAATAAGGTCTTCTTAAGCCGTGTCTATCATTCCAGTCTCTTATGAAATGAGCCGATAATCTGGTTTGGTTTTCTAAGAGAAGAATTTCTGGTCTAAGAGAAGGATTTCGGGTCTTCTAAGAGAAAACCTTCCAGTCTTCTAAAAGAAAACCTTCCAGTCTTCTAAGAGAAAACCTTCCAGTCTTCTATGAGAAGACCTTCGAAAGATTTTGAAACTGAAAAATGTTTCTGAGGAATATAATTATTTGACATCGAGCCCTTTGCAGCTCCTCTTTTGGTCTCCTCAATTTTGAATATCTTCGGAATGGTTTGCCCTGTTATGAGTTATCCTACATTTTACGGGCGATGAGATATGACCAGTGAACTCTGCCCTCATTTTAAATAACCTCTTACGTTATAACAACCATTTCACTCGTGTTCATCCTAAAATTCAAGAGAAAAGAGAACGAGAATGATAGGAAAATAACAAGTCAGATAGAAATGATGTGTAATCCACGAAGAAATTAAGGTGTCGTCTTTAGCCACTTCAGTATTCTGGATGGACCATCGATGCTACCCAATTTTTGTATAGTGCTGGGTCTGAGACCCCGAGTTCCTAAAGATGATTAGTTCATAAACATTTTTTCTTATAAAAAAATTGTAGAGTCCTGATATATTCACCAGGGGCTGAGTTTATTTTTTTTTTTTCGTTCGAAAAATATTTTACAAGTCCTGATGATATTTTTCCAAAAAAAAAAAAAGGATTTTAAATAGACAAAATAGCTCAGTTGCTGAAGATAATTTTTTTGAATTCAAAAATATTTCTGAGGGTTTTTATAGATCTGAAGATGATTTTTTCTATAATTATTCAGTTGCTAAGTAGGTATTTTTAATAATTCAAAATTTCTCAGGCCCAGAAGACATATTTCTATAATAAAAAACCTGACGCTACATTAAAAAAAATCCCCAGAATTGGGAATGGTGGTTTCATCGGAAAACTATTTAACAAGTCCTAAAGGCGCCTTTCTCTAAAGAAAAAATATTTATCAGATCCCCAGCATAAGCCTTTTTTATAGGAAAAAAGGGGCAGTTGCTTAGAATGATTTTTTCAATAATTCCAAAATATTTCTCAGGTCCAGAGAATGATTTTATTTCGGTCAAATACCCCATTCCTACCCTACTTCTTTATAGAAACAGAACTCTTGAGGTTAATTTTTTGGTTGAAAACTTTTTATTTAAAATGCCATGGTGGAGAAGAAAACTTAAGTGCAATAGCTACAATTTTTACTTCGAATTTTCAAAGCATACCTTTAGGCTTTCGATGTTGTTCTACAATTTCTTTAGGTTACAGTTTAAAATCACAAACACTTCAAATAGTAAATATATAATTTCTAACAAAACATCTTTCTTTATTTAACATTGTTTTTAATTTCCCCCCGACAACACTACCTTATTTCCAAATGGCAACAACGGAAATCGGAAAAAAACAATTCCTCCCTCCCACAAAAAAACGAAACAGATACCCGATCCTCAAATCGAAATGATATTCCCTCCCTATATAGCACAACCATGTAAATTACCCTGTTGTCGACCCATGTCGTCATCAGTACCACGTTATAGTAATGCATCTGGCCTAAGTGTTGCTAATAATTCTGCTGCTAGTCCCGCCCGCGGCGATAGAGCCACAGTAAAAAGACATAACTCATTTACGCTAGCCACGACAGCACGTCAAGACTATAACCAACGACAGCCATCGCATTCGGACTATCATGACGACGAAGACGTTGACGATGTTGATGATGATGGTTGTAATGACTTGATACCACCAAGACCGCCCGAGGCCGTGCAAACTATGAACAATGAATTACCCAAACATCACCACCACCACCAACAACAACAACGTATTACATCATATGAAATGATACCGCAAATTATCAAACCATCCTCCTCAATGCCAAATGGCTTGCCGAACAGCAATTACGGCCTTAAAGATAATCTCAATGGCAGCGATGAAGGTCTGCTAACCGATGTTGGGGAATCACAATATCGTGGTTCTCAAACAAATATTCTGATGCCTCAACGTCCATATCGCAGTCATTCACGTAGTACCTCAAAATCCTATAATGTCTCGAATTCAAATCTAACCACAAGTACCACATTGGCTTCCTCGACCCTGTCGAATCTTTCCACAAATTCGACTAATCAAAATCGTTCTGCCATGGGCGCAGGAGGGGGTTATGGTTTGAATTCATATGGTAGTAATAGTAATAATGGCGGCGGCGGAGGTCAACCGGCTTTGCGTTACACCAATCGTACACAGAATCTGGAGCCTCGTACCACCCCCTATTACTATCATGAATTAATGCAAAAATCGGCTGTTTTTGATTCCGATTTGAATTTACTAAATCCCACAGAGGCCACAGGCAACGATGGCAGCACAGCCAATGGTAATGAACAAAATCTTGCCTCGCTCAATGGCAGTTTGGATAATGTCCTCAAGGCGACACGTAAAAATTTAGATGATCTAATACTAAGTAATTCATTGTTCTATAGTAATTCGCATTCCTCGAATGACTTATTTAACAATAACGCGAACGGTAATAGCAGTAGTGCCAATACTTTAGTTGATGACGAACAGCAGCAGCAACAGCAGCAGCATCATAGTTTAGGTTATATACCCTATAATGCCAATGCGAACCATTCAAATCCCATACCTGCAGCTCGTAGCGTTTTAAGCTCGAATTCCATACCACCATTAACGTCGTCATCGACTTCGTCATTACATGCCACGAAACGCAGCAGTCATCATTCTTTACATGCCAGTAATTCGAACATTTTTAATAGCAACAAAAGCAACAGCAACAACAATAACAGTAATAATAACAACAATAGCCTTCATCCCAATTATCCGAATGAAAAATATGTTGCATGAGAGAGAAATAAACCAATGTTCCGAATCATAATAGCCTAAAAAATGAAGAAATGTTGGCAGGATTTGTGTCAACGAATGTTGAAGTTGTGAGCGGCTTGGAAGTTATTGGAAATCATGGAAAATGAACTGGGTTTCGAGAAGTTTAAATAACTATAAGCACATTCTTTTCAACATTTTATTATTAAGTCAAAATTTTATTATTCAGTAAAAATTTTGAAATTTAGAATAATATGAGAGAGTCGATCTAGGGGTGTTCGTCTGTTTGTCTGTCTGGCTGGTGCTCACCGATAACTCTCGAAGGGAGTATTCGATTTGATCTAAATTTGGTACATCGTAATATTATTGTCAAACTTTGATCAAGTTCGGAGATGGACAATATCGGTCCACTTCTTTAGGTACCTCCCCCCACAAAAGATCGAAATTTTCAAAAAAAAAAAAAAAAATATTTTACTGTTATTTTTATTTTTTTACCAGATAGAGAAAGGATAATCCGATTTTTCTCCAACTTTGCAAATCCTTATATTTTTATCAATGCTAGGTCAGGTGAGAAAATGGACGGTATCGGCCCCCTCCTTCCGGCGCCTCCCCCACAACGGGTTAGGGTTTTAAAAAATCACAACACTTATAAATTGTGAATGAAGAGTCGGATTATCTTCATATTTCGCATATTCCAATATTTTTTCCAACTCAAGATCTTGTATGAAAATGGGATACACCACTTCACTCCTTCTAGTACCTCCCCCACAAAGGGTAAAAAATTGTGAATATCCAAAATCCTCATAGCAAGGAAAATAAGGATCCGATTCTTTTTGAATTTGGCACATCCTAATATTTATACCAGCTCTAGATCTTGTATGAGTATGGAAAAGATAGGACCACTCCTTCTGGTACCTTCCACACAAAGGGTCAAAATTTTGAATATTTATAACTCTAAAAAAACTGCGAAATGTGCATCCGATTCTTCGCTCATTCCACACATCCCAATATTTCTACGAAACCAAGATCTGTTACGAAAATGGGATATATCGGTCCACTTCTTCTAATACCTCGCCCACAACGGGTCAAAATTTTGAATAATCATGAAGCTCATAAAACAAGAAATAAGCATCCGATTCTTTTCAAACTTGACACTTTCTAATATTTCCATCAGCACAACACCTGGTGAGAATATGGAAAATATCGAATGACGCCTTCTGGTACCTCTACCACAACGGGTCAAAATTTTGAATATTTATAACTCTCATAAAATGTCGAATTATCATCCGATTCTTTTCAAACTTGACACATCTGGATATTTCTATCAACACAAGATCTACTGTGAAGATGGGATATATCGGCCCACCCCTTCTGGTACCTCCCCCACAACGGGTCAAAATTTTGAAAAACCAAACCACTTATAAAATGCGGAATAAGCATCCGATTATTTTCAAACTTATTACATCTCAATATTTCTACCTACACAAGATCTGATATGAAGATGAAATATATCGGTCCACTCATTCTGGTACCTCCCCCACAACCGGTCAAATTTTCGAATATTTTTAACCCCCAAAAAAATCCAAATTAGCATCTGATTCTTTTCAAACTTGGCACATCCTAATATTTCTGTAAACACAAAGTCTGGTGTGAAGATGGAACAGATCGGACAACTCCTTATGGTACCTCCCCCACAACGGGTTAATGTTTTGAATGCCCAAACCGCTCTTAAAATGCAAAATAAGCAACCGACTCTCTTCACATTTCACACATCCCAGTATTTCCATAAACACAAAGCCTGGTGTGAAGATGGTACAGATCGGACAACTCCTTATGGTACCTCCCCCACAACGGGTTAATGTTTTGAATACCCAAACCGCTCATAAAATGCATAAAAAGCAACCGATTCTTATAAAATTTGGTACATCCTAATATTTATACCAACCCTAGATCTCGAATGAAAATGGGAAAGATTGGAACACCCCTTCTGGTACCTCCCCCACAACGGGTCAAAATTTTGAATGACCAAACCGCTCATAAAATGCGAAGTAAGCATCCGATCTTCTTTAAATTTTACACATCCTAATATTTCTACTAACGCATGATCTGCTGTGTAAATGCGATATATCGGTCCACCACTTCTGGTATCTCCCCCACAAAGGGTTAAAAATTTGAATAACCAACCGATCATAAAATGCTAAAATAGTACTCGATTCTTTCAAACTCGACAAATCCCAATATTTATATCAACACAAGATCTGGTGTGAAGATGAAGGATATCGGTCAAGCCCTTCTGGTACCTCCCCCACAAAGGGTCACAATTTTCAAAAATTTTGTCACCCATAATTTGCGAAACAAGTAACCAATTCTTTTCGAAGTTGGTATTTTTAATTATTTATCTCAATCTAAGATTTGATGTTAATATGGGGTTAATCGGTCCACTCATTTTTGTGCCTCCTCTTCAAGGGGTTAAATTTTTGATTAAAATTCTTTTTAGAAAATAAAATTCTTAGTAAAAAAAATATTTTTTATATCTCACTATTCAGTTTAAAAAATCCATGATTTCTATTAAAAAACCTCCCCGCCACATTTCAACAATATCCAAACGCAAAAGAAAGCATGAAGTGTTTTTCTACGCCAAAAAAAAAAAAAAAAAAAAAAAAAAAAACTGAAATAATGTCTCTTAGAAAACTTTATTTAAAACCCATGTTTTTTTATTTATATATTTATTGTATTTGTATATATCACTAAAATCGAAAAAAAAAAATAAATAAAATACACTAACTTCTTATATGTTGCATGCTGCATTTTGTTATCCTAAATGTACAAGTAGTTATTTGTTATACTAGCACCTAATTCCAAAACGCCCACCAACCCCCAAAAAAATACCCCTTTTATCCTTTCCCCCCTAAATCATCACATTTTTAGTTTACTTTTTCTGTTATAATTATTATCCCTTAGATTTGTAACTAATTTGTTTTTAAGCTGTAATACAAGAAAAATTCTTGTTGAGCATAAAAAAATATTGAAATTGAAATTTGTTTTTAAATAATGTTGCTAACTTAATTGTTTTTTTGTTTCATCTTTTTTTTTCTTTTATTTATATATCTCGAATACACCAAAAAAAAAAAAAAAAAACAAAACAACAATCAATCGATACATCATCATCACCACAAATCACAAATATCGTAATCACCAACCAACCAACCAACCAACCAATCAAATCGAAATCAATACTACTCTCCCCACATCATATATATGGTCATTTCCCCCCGTTTGTTATCCCTACGTTTGCTTATATCATTATCCCTGTTTTTTGGCGACTCAACTAACCTCCATCCAAACTTCTAATCAAAAACTCAAAAACTTGTGTCTTTGTCCGCAAAAAAACAAAAATTGTGTCCGTCCTTTATCTAAAACGTTCTGTTTACGTTACATTATGTTTACGCTACGTTACGTTTTTTTGTTTATCCGTTTAAATGCTTGGCAATCAAACGTATTTTTTTATTCCACCATTACTTTTTGTTGCCGTTACCAACCGTGTAAACATCATTTAACTTCATTTTGTTACGTTACGTTTGTTGCTATTTTTTTGAAATTTAATCTTTTTTTATTAAATTGTTTTGAAATCCTATTTAAAATTTGAAAAAAAAAAAACTAATGCTTTTCCCATCCACCAAACACGTAATAATTCAAAATTTGACAACAAACACCATACCTTTGGTTCCCAATCCCATTATTCCTTCCACCCACCAACTCCTTTGATTCGATATCTGACACAATCCAACAAAATCAAAAAATCGGCACATGTTTTTACGCGTTTCCGAAAACTTAAAACCCCAAAAGCCTGTTGAGTCCTTATCCGATGACTTCCTATTCCCAATGACCTCAAATCGTTTGTCGTATGCATCAAGTCCTGAATCTGATTTGGAATTAAGTCCCGGCCCGTCGACATCATTATCTTTGGGCAATTTGCCACAGTTGGTAAAATCCAATTCGGATCCATCGATTGCCACAAATCAGGATAACTTGGATAGGGATAGAGACATAATTGGTGAAGGATTACCACCTCCATATACGGTAAGCGGAAATTCCCCCCAAAACAACAACAACAAAACAAAATTAAAACAAAAATAACAAAATCACACGGTGCTACAAAAAATATAATAAACATCTAAATTTAGTTGGATCTTCAACATAACCTCAAAAATTGATGTTTGGGTCATAGAAACAAAGCATACTTTTATATCTTCAATAGATGGGGAATGATAAGCAGAAAGCACTAAAACCCAAAAAAGTTTTTCAAAATGATCAACTTTTTAAGGAATTTTAAACGTAACCTCAAAAAATAGAATTTTAAGTCAAAAAAAAACAAAGCATACTTTCAGGAAGTCTTCAATAGAAGGGAGTGATGAACAATATAACCATAGAAAGTAAAAGAAACAAAAAAAAAATTATTTAAAATTTATCGAAAAATTTTTAAAGAATTTCAAACGAAATAGAACGTTGAGTCATAAAAACAAAGCATACTTTTAGGATGTATTCAATGTAAGAAATGAGATTATGGATAATTTTTATAGGTAACATTACAATATGAGATGTTAAAAACAAAAAAAAAACATTTTAAACGTAACCTAAAACAATTGAATTTTGGGTCATAAAACAAAGCATAATTTTAGGAGTCTTCAATGAAAGAGATGAGATTATGGGTAATTTTTGTAGGTGCCAAAACTGTAGGAGGTGTTCAAAACAAAAAAATATTTTAATATTTTTAATATTAATATTTAAAAAATCAACATAACCTCAAAAAATAAAATCATAAAAATAAAGTATACTTTTAGGTGGTCTCTAATGAAAATTATGAAATTATGGGTTATTTAATGAGTAATGTAACATAACCTCAACATAACCTCAAAAAAGAATCGTAGGTCATACAAATAAAGCATACTTTTAGGAGGAATGTTTGAGACAATGAGTTCTTTTATGAGCAACATAACTGCGGGAAGTTATACAAGTCAAAAGTTAAAGAGATCAAAATTGAAGTAGAGAATTTTATACATAACCTCAAAAACAAAAATTTGGGTCATAAAAAACAAAGTATACTTTCAGGATGTCTCGAATAGAAAAGATAGGATTTAAAACTATAGGAGGTATTCACAGTCAGAGAAAAGCATTTTAAAAGGATCAATATTGTGTTGGAGAATTTTTGGGCTCATTTTATAGGTAAAGACTATTAGAGGTCTTCTGGAGATAGATCACCTTAAGCAGGTCTTCTAAAGATAAAAGACCTACACCTGATCTGGGGCCCTAGTAAGACTTTTGCTGATGGAAGTCCTTTAGCTGGTCTTTCAGGTCTTTGCAGGGTCTTTAGTAGGTATTTTATAAATAGGAGGCCTATAGTAAAGCTTCTATAAACAGAAAGCTATCAGCAGGTCTGCAACAGATAGAAGGCCTTTGGCAGGTCTTCAACTTTTAAAAATCTTTTGACGGGTGACCTAGGACCTAGGTATTCAACAGATCTGCAGCTAGAAGTCCTTTAACAGGTCTTCAGCAGATGAAAAGTTTTTAATTGTTTTTTTACGGATAGAAGGTCTTTAGCAAAGCTTCTATCGACAGAAGGCTCTCAGCAGATAGAAGGCCTTTGGCAGGTCTACAACAATTTAAGGTCATTTGACAGGTCCTCTAGGTCTTCTACAGATAAGAGGGCTTTGGTCTCCAGGTCTCCTAAAGAGATGAATTTTTCACCCGGTGTTTTAACAGATAAACATTTTTAGTAGGTCCTCAGAAGCAGGCCTAGGATCTTATTATAAAACCCCAATTTTTGTAGCACCGTGTCGAAATCTACAACCAAAAATAATAACAAACAACTAAAAAAAACAACAAAACATGCTTTCATACACAACATATACAACATACATACGTACATATATAACTAAATAAAGAAACGGAACTATGTATATGTGCATGTTGCTCTTTTTGTTATAACAATTCCCCCCAAAAAAATAAACAAATCTCCTTCCCTTTTTAAAATTGCATTACTTCTCCGCCAAAAAAAAACCCGAATTCATAATTGAAAACGCATTACTAATCTCGTGTATTAACCTCACGATTTTTTCTAAATTTCTTTATTTCGTACGCTTACATTAGATTCCCTTTGATCATTCCAATACTACTACCACTACTCAGCCTCCACCGAGTCGTCGACAAACTATGGACACTAGTAAATATGGTGGCTATTCATCTAATTCTAATCTTCTTAATTCTTCTGATCCCTCAACACCATCGACGCGACCACAGTCGTTGTATGGCATCAATGCACCCGATCTACCGCCACGCATCGATCGCCAGTCGAAACCGGGACCCAATGATATTGTGGTGACACCCTCCAGCACGAATACACCATCACGTTCGAACAGTTCGGGTGGTACGTTGGGACGTTCGGCCCAAGAGCGTCTCTTTGGCAAGGCCATTGTGAGTGATGATGTGCAGGCGGAATATATTTCAAGAAATGCAGCCAACGCTCTTCAAGCCAACCAACCACCACCCACCGGTGCGGATCCAACTACCATGGATAGACATCATGCCTCTTTGGAGCGGCAGGCTCGTCTCAATGCTGCCGCCCAATCGAAAATACCCGGTGCTCCAACTTCGGCAACTGCCTCGGCCATAAGTACACCCCAGCAGCAAAATGGTTCCAGCTATGACAGTGTCTCTAGCTATGATTCATACAATGCCTCACAGCTGACCATGCAAAATTTGGGACGTCTGGGTCCCAATGCCCCCGATGATCTCAAATCAGTGCCAAATGTTAAGTGAGTATTGAAAATTTTCATTTTTAAAAACATATATTTTAATGTAATATTTTTTCCAGTGCTGGACGTCCTTTGCCGCCAGTAGGCATGGCTGGCCAAACAGCCGACTATGCCCGTACAACCCACGATCATCGTCAATATGGCGGCGGTCCCAATGATTTGAATCGTCAAAGTAGTCCCGGCAGACCACCGTATCATGATATGAATGCTGCAAGAAATATAGGTAAGTAAAAATGTAAAGGAAACTGTTATACAAAAAAAAAAAAAAAAAATTATACGGTAACGCCATATGTTTCTGCATTAATTGTACTTGTATTATTATATATTATATTGTAACAGTTTCAAAAACTGTTATACAGTCATAATTGTGTACGAAATAGTGTTGGGAGACCAACAATTTTATTCAAATAGAATGTATTTAAAAATATTAAACATTTTTATAGTTTTGAAAATTATTTTTCTTAAAAAAACTGTTATACAGGTTAAAAAAACGCGATTTTTTTAAAAAAATAAAGTAGGGGTAGACTTGAGTAATACAAAAAAAGTTGTAAAATCTTGTCAATGTTCTTATTGACCCCTTTTTAAACATTTTATAATAGTATAACAGTTTCAAAATATGTTTTACCATTAAATGTAGTTGTATTTCCGATAACAAAACAGAAAATAAGATTTTAAAACGTGCTTTATGACTTTATAACAGTTTCAAAAACTATTATACAGACATAATTGGGTACGAAATAGTGTTGGGAGACCAAAAAAAAAATTAAAAATTTTTATAATTTTCTATAAAAACATTTACCGGAAAAAACTGTTATATAAGTTAAAAAAGCGAAAAAATGAAAATAATGCAACGCATTATTAAATACATAAAATTAAATTGTTTTCTCTGCTTCAAAATTTTGTTTCTGTTTTTATTGCCCTCTTTTTAAACATTTTATAACAGTATAACAGTTTCAAAATATACTTTCACAAAAAAGATACTCGAATTTCTTATTATTAATTCAAAAATTAAATTTAAAAATATGTTTTTGGAGTCTGTATAACAGTTTCGAAAACTGTTATACACACAAAATTGTGTACAATTTACATTTGGATGATACAAAATATCGTTAATAGATAAAAATTTAAAATCAAAAACACTTTTTTTTTTAAAAATCTGCACATTTTTCCAATTTCTAAAAAAAAAAACTGTCATACGTGTTAAACAATGTGATAAATAGTATAATTTCTGCTGTATAACAGTTTGAAAATCTCTATAAACCACTAAAAATGTATATAGCAATCATACAGTAAAGTTTCGCGTCAATCTGTGAATGTATAACAGTTTTGGAAACTGTTATACAAAGTTTTTTTTTTCAAAAGTATCTTCAAAAAATACATTAATGTTAATTCTCAAGAAGAATATGTTCAATAATATTTCAAAGAAAAATTCCGAAACCTAGGTATTCCCTGCCTTAACACCTGGTAAACATTACCATCTTTCTTCTCTAATAAACAAACTTTGTTTTTATAAAAACAACAAAAAGGAGATTAAGCCTGACTAATTTGCAACAACAAAATACTACGGTATACCCATGTTCAAATTTAGAAGATAAAGTCATTTCAAATAAGACTGTCCGTTTCTGCATTTTCTGTAATTTACCTTGTCAAATTTCCTTGAATAAAAAACGAGTTCCCATTTCAGATTTCTGTGTATACAATGGATTTTTAAATATTAATTTTGATAATGAGATTGTGTCAAATAAATAATTTGGAAAAATTTTAAACATAGGATTGCATGGCTTTAACTTCTTCATTTCACCATGGGTATACCAAACAAACATGCCAACACTTTTCCGAATAAAAAAATAAATTATAATCTTATATAGGTATTAATAAAAAAAAAACTAACGTATTTCTCTTTTGCTTTTCATTTTCTAGATCCTCGTAATGGCACACCCCAACGTCCTTCGAATTTGGGTCTTGAGGGCAGTCCACGTAAAGTTGAAACCAAAACTGATTATGGAAAATATAGGTAAGATTTGAAAACTATTTTCGTCATAGCTATTCTGCAAATCATTGCTCTCATCTATAAGTTATTTTATATTGGTTTGAGTTCTCTCTATAAATTATTATATTTTTTTGTACAAACAATTAACCACTTTAAAATAATTACTTTTATTTCTTTCTTTTATTTTATTAAAAATAAAAAACGATATTAACTAACTGCATGCCAATACAACCAACTGACTACTACTGAATTCAAATCTAAACTTTGAAACGTAACTATAAAACAAAAACCAATTGTTCTTTTCTTCTTTGTTTTATTGCAAAACCCCCCCTGTATTCTTAAATTTGTTGCTACAATTTGTCCGTCCCCTTGAACTTATATTAGATATCACTTCCACATACATCCCTTTCATATACATTGTCCAACGGCACTACAACGTATTGCCCCTGCTGGCCATGGTGGGCTGGCAACGACAAAAAGTCCATGTAGTGCCATGCCTTCATGCATGCCATCCAAAATAACCTGGCGTAATTGTAATAGGCCAACCGCTGCCTATGTCATGAATAACACAGGTTATGCTCCTGTTCCAGCACAATTTTGTAGCGTTTCAAGACGTCGTCCCATTGTGCAAAATATATCCATTTACGATACATTAGTCTAAAAACCCCATTTGTAATGTCTTCTCATAATTTATACGAAAATTTAAATAGAGAATATTAACGAACATTTTGTCGAATAATTAAAAAAAACCTTGTTTTATTTTTATGTCCAAAATATATCCGATCGTCTTTCCTGTCTTGTAGTTGTAGTTAATATGCATAAACATTTTTTCCAATTTTTTTCATAATATTTAAAACTTGTTTCCACTTTTTCTGTTTTATTTTTTGTATTACCTTTTACATCACCTTATCATCATCCAACCACAACCATTTGCCATGTTCTTCGTCCTGATGCTTGATTTGTAATGTTTTCTTTATTGTGTCTGTAATGTGTCGCCATTGTCCATGTACGACAGTCGTAATAATTCTGCCTCACAAGCCGATTACAATAAGATACCCAAGAATCCGGGTATGCCTCATATGGTTATACCACCACCCAATGTCAATGGCAATATGAATGGCAGCAGTGCTGGACCCCAGGCAGCGGCAAGTGGACCATTCAAACCGGTACCACCACCAAAACCCAAAAACTATCGTCCTCCATTGCAAAACGCTGGCAATGGTAATGGTCCCAATCAATGGGAGAATCAGGTAAGTTTAAAATCTGACGAAATTTTGTACTACCTTACGAATAACATTTATATATTTCTCTCTAGGAACCCGGTTCACCACGCTCTCCCAATGGCTTCTATTACCCGCCGGCTCCGCAACATCATCATTATGGCCAGCAAACACCTGGATCTCCACATGCCAATGCAAATATGCAGCCAACCTATGGCACAAATAATAATTATGGACCACCACCAAATGCCACGGGTTATCCACCGGCCAATGGTTACAATGGCAATGCCACAACACATCATTACAATGGTGGTAGTGGCACGGGACCATATATTGCACCCCATCGTGGTATGCCACCTCCCATAGGTATGTATAAAAAAAAACCATAATTACAACAAACAGATTTACTAATTATATGCCATCTGAACTACAGATTTAGCTGGTAGTCGTGAACAAAGAGGTTCAGCCTTTGAGTTATATCGTAAACCTCAAATTGGCACAGCTGGACACCATCACAACATGAGGTAAGTAGTCACCACATTTAATTGAATGCATTTCAGTTCTCCCACTGGAACTGATTTTCAATTTGAAAATTCGTATTTTTCTTCTTAATTCCCCCCTCCATCCATTATTATTCATTCCAATAGACTCTCCTGTTATTTGTTCACATTGTGTTAACGAAAAATGTTTTTATTTTTGTTTATTAATCCATTATTATTCATGAAGCGAATTCATTTGTTTTTGTTCAAACACTGAAAGAAAATAATGAAAAAGAAACTTTATTTAAACATCGGGTTAAAGGTCATAGTTTTTTGTGTTACCGTCCATTTTTTTATATATATACAATTTTTGTTTTCATTTTCAATTCGATAAAAACATTTTTTTACAAAATTTCAAATATCAAAATTCATTCATCGCCAATAGCCCATAATTATGGAAAATTGTATTGTGTCCATTTACGATCACCACTTAGACAAAAAAAATTTGTTACATCATTTATTTTGCAATAACCAAACAATAGAATACGTTATGTTTCCCAGAACAAGAAAAAAAAAACAACAAAACCACTTCATTCAAATAAGGATTAGAATATGTTTTATTTTGGAAAAGGGTTTGTAAAATTATAAAAAATTAAATCGAGATAATGACCATTAATAAGGAAATAGCCGCAATAACATTCAGGCGCCCATCTTGATTTGTAGGTCTGGAGGAATAATCTAAAAATACAAACGGCTCCCAATAAAAAAGAATTTAATATCTGATAGAATGTTCGCAACTGATTTTAATATTCAATTCGCAATCTTTTTAGTTTTCAAGCTTTCTGAGACATTTCAGTGAACCGGATTGTCTCAAAGGCCTGTTTCTTTACGACAATGCGAGAGTAAGCTACATTCCCTGCAGGTCAAATTCTGATAGTAATGACTAATTTTTTTTTATTTTCTGTTTCGTGCTGGGTTGCTTACAGGAATATTATGTGTATGAGTCGGAGAAATAACGAAAACAAGTAAAAAAGCAGCTAAGCAGTTTTTAATATACCCTCCACCATTCGGAAAGAACTTGAAAATTAAAAAAAAGATCTGCCGAAAAATGCCTCTCAAATAAAAAACCTTTATATGGAAGCTATACAAAGACGTGGTGCCACATAAGTAATTTTTTGTCATAACCTGTAGTAACAATTCCGAACTTTACATACGAAATTCAAAACAGTTCTGGTAAATAATGTCGCCAATACCATCAAAATACCGAATAAAGAGAGGTACCATTGTATGTGGGCTTTACGAAGACGTGGACCTGCATAGACAATTTTCTGTCATAGGCTTTAATATCCAGTACGAACTTCAAACACAAAATTTGAAACAATTCCGGTGAATAATGTCGCTAAAATCATCAAAATACCGAGTAAAGGAAGTACCGTTATATGATGATTATACGAAGGCGTGGACCAGCACGGACAATTTTCTGTCATAGGCTGTAGTGTCCATTACGAACTTCAAATACCAAAATTAAAACAATTCCGGTGAAAAATGTCGCTAAAATCATCAAAATACCGAATATCGAAAGGTGCCGTTATATGGGGGCTATACGAAGACGTGGACCTACACAGACAATTTTCTGTCATAGGCTGTAGTATCCATTACGAACTTCAAATACCAAATTTGAAACAATTCCGGCGAAAAATGTCGCTTAAATCACCAAAATGCCGAAAATAGGGAGCTACCATTATATGGGGGCTGTACGAAGGCGTTTAACTACACGGACAATTTTGTGTCAGAGGCTGTAGTATCCATTACGAACTTCAAATACGAAATTTCAAACAATTCCGGCGAATAATGTCGCTAAAATCATCAAAATACCGAATATCGGGAGGTACCGTTGCATGAGGGCTATACGAAGAGGTGGACCTACATGGTTCATTTTCAGTACCAAAAGTCCTGTAGACATAATATACATTTGAGTAAAATTTTATCAACCTACATCATTTCATTCGGAAGTGATTTCCGCAGACGGACAGACATCGTTAAATCGACATAGAGTTTTATGCTGATCAAGGATATATATATTTTGTGGGGTCTAAAATGTATATTTCGAGGTGTTACAAACGGAATGACAAACTTAATATACCCTCCATAATGTTGTGGAGGGTATAATTTTTTTATGGCTTCTATTTGATCTGTGAAATACACTTTGCCGTAATCTCGTGTATGTTCATGAAAACCCTCACTATGGTGGAGAGAAGCAACAGCGCGGAACTCTCTCTTCTGAGCTAGACTATATTCAGCCATAAACAGCAGTCAAGTGTGAAGTTGCTAAGAGGTAAATCAATTTAATGCACAGCCGATAAATAGCTACAGCTTTGATAGCCACTGACTTTCTGGTGCTAGAAGATTTCAATGTCCGGTCTAAATTATTAATCCACATTTTGCACGGAGCTACAAAAATTTAGAATAGATTTGCACAGTACAAATTGAGGGTTCAAACCTCATAAATTACGTGTTCTAGCAGCCATTACCTTCAAGAATTCGAAGATTGGATGATATATGTAAGATTTTCTTTTCGATCATTATGGATTTCAATCCCATTGGTGTTATATAAAAGAAGTCAAGCAAAAGATTATTATGTTTGTTATCTTTAGGCTTTAAGTGTCCTTCTTGCGTTCTACGTGTTAATGTCCTTAGGATATATTATTGTTGTTGGTATTGGTTGGGTTAAACTAAGAGTCCTTTGTAAATCAAAATTCTGGTAACTTTGTAGAGCATCTCTGAACGTCCATTAGATGTAATCCTAAAAGGCTTTCCGATTCTGAACATTAAAAATGAAATTATTGTATAAAACAATTTTACCTTATTTGAATGAAGTGTTGGCATTTGTTATGATGTTTTCTTAAACGAAAATAAAACATTTTTCGGGTTAATGTGATTATATAGAAAGAAAAAAAACAATCCCCTTACACATTTTACAAACATACATGCAAAAAAAATAATCATTAATATATACACTAGCTTTTCTACTAGGTCCATTAAATACAATTTTACTCAATTTTTATAGATTTAATGAACATTTAATAAAAAATCTCTAAGGTTTTGGTATTTTCAAATAAAATCATTTACGATTTAAAAACAATAATAACCCCCCCCCCCCCCCCCCCATTTCTTTAATGTAAAACTAACCCACAAAAAAAATTGTTTTATTTTTCTTGAGCTATAGTTCTATGGAAATATATTTTTAGTTTAATTGAAATCTTCTTTATATAACTATTACATTTTGTTTGTTATTTTTATGGGTTAAAGGGAAACTTTTTGTTTTGCTAACCTTCCTACTACGCCTTTGGTATGGTAATGATGAGACTATATTTTTTTTTTAAACTCTCACTTCTAATTCAATTGGTATTTGCAAAATAAAGAGACAAATTTTTTTGTTTAAGTTATAGGTGAAAATCTTTTAAGATAAAGAAATTTTAAAATATATTGTGTATAAATGCAGGTTTTTAATATTTTGCAATTTAAATGTTAAAATATTATTCGTGTTTTGTTAGGTCGTCCAGAATTAAAGTTTTATATTATTTGTATATTAATCTAATTGTATTTTATTGAATTTTGTACAAGTATTATGGGAACATAGCCAAGGGACATTTTATATAATAAATCCTGGAATTTTTCTTTAGATGAATCAGATGAGTACGGGGTAAACTTTCTCAGTAAATTTCAAAAAAATTTCCATAAAACATTAACACAATATCTGCTCGGTTTTCAGAGACAAAACAACTTCTTTTTTAGAATAATATCTCCATTTTATCCAAATGTTGGTCTTCTTAATAAAGAAGATTTTGATATGTATTGCTATTATCTACTCTCTCATAATTTTTTATTGGTATCTCCGCCGCATTCAAGACCGAATTATCAATCTATTTACAGACCGGTGTTCAAAGGCAATTCGACATCTTTTCTTGAGATATTATCTTCATCCAAATATTGGGCTTTCCAAAAGAGAACATTTAAAATTGTGTCATAGTTATCTACTGGCTCTTCACATTTTTGCTTTTGCCGTATTCAAGACCACATGGCCCATCTTTTCGTACTTCGATTTTCGATTCTCTTTATTTGAGATATAATCTTCTTTGTATCCAAGATGTGGTTTTTCTAAAATAGAAGCATTTAATTAGTATAATTAGCATCTACTGGCTCTCCATGGCTTCTTTGTATACCCTCAGCCATATGGCTAGTAATACACTCGCCCATATGGCTAGAGAGGAGGGTATATATCATTTGATACGGCCAAACCGTGCCTCATCGAAATAACGGTTTTAGGCCATAGGTCTCTTTAGAACAAATTCGTTTCAGGACATTTGGATTCGAATTAGTGAAGTCCGTCCGTCCGTCCCTCGGTCGTTCTGGCTGGCTAATGCGCCCCATAACTATCGAAGGGAGTGTCCGATTTGGTCCAAACTTGGTAGATCGAAATACTATTGTAAAACTTAGATCGAGTTCGGAGATGGGCAATATCGGTCCACTCCTTCTGGTACCTCCCACACAAAAATTTAAAATTCTCAAATATAATGTTTTACTACACAAAAAGAGGAAGGATAATCCGATTTTGCCCCAACTTTGCAAAACCTAATATTTGCGCCAGTGCTAGGTCAGGTGCGAAAATGGACAATATGGGTCCACTCCATCAAGTACCTCCCCCACAAAGTGTCAAAATTTTGAATAATTATATGTGTCATAAAATGTGAAATAACAATCGGATTGTCTTCAAATTTCACACATCACAATAGTTTTATTAATACAAGGTCTGGTATGAAGATGGAATATATCGGTCCACTCCTTCGGGTACTTCCCCCACAAGAGGTCAAAATTTTGAATAAATATAACTCTTGAAGCTCTTAAAACGTGAAATTAATATCCGATTCCATTCAAACTTGCCGCATCTTAATATTATGTATCAACATAAAGTCTGTTGTAAAGATAGTACAGATCGACCCATTCCTTCTGGTACCTCCCCCACAAAGAGCCCAAATTTTGAATAACTAAAAATATCCTAAATAAGCATCCGGTTCTCTTCAAATTTCACGCATCCTATTATTTCTACTACCAAAAGATCTGCTGTGAAGATGGTATATATCGGGCCACTCCTTCGAGTATCTCCCCCACGGAAAGGGAAATTTTGAATATCTATGAAATTCATAAAACGCGAAATTAACATGCGATTCCATTCCGGACTTGGTACATCTCAATATTTCCATGAACATAAGATATGCTATAGAGATGACAAAGATCGGACCATTTCTTCTGGTACTTCCCCCACAAAGGGTCCAAATTTTGAATATCCAAGAAGCTCATAAAATGCGAAACTAACATACGATTCCATTCAGAATTGGTACATCTCAATATTTCCATCAACACAAGGTCTGGTATAAAGATTGTAGAGATCGGACTTTCTTCTATTTCAAAACGCTTAAAGATAACGAAATAAGCATCCAACTTTCTTCAGCCTCGAGGTTATTTTTCCATATTCTTTGTAGATTTCCCTAAGACTGTTTTCACCAGGCATTCATTCCAAAATTATCAAAAAAAAATATACTTAATTTTTTTTTAAAGCCTTCCTGTCCAAAAAAATAGTTTAAGTTCCCCATACTTGTACAAAATCTTTGATAGGGTATTTCCCAAACTGTACACCCCCAAATACCCCCCAAAAATATCTATTTCCAAAAATTATACATTTTCTATTTCAATTCTGTAATGAACAAAAATTACAAATTCTAAACCCATTCAAAATCAACTACAAAAATCTTTAGCGAAATGGAGTCATATGAACAACAACAGCAACACCACCACCAACAACAACAAGAACAACAAGAAATCTATGATGACTTTTATACCATGCAACCACCACCAGCACCACATCCTCAACATCCACCGCCAAGATCTCGGTCAGTACCCAGATATCCCCATGAACGTCCACCACACGCACAAGATCCAAATTATTATGATTATGGAGGGCAGCCGCCTCCATTGCCTCCGGCCCATCCACATCAACAGTATTATAATGACATGAATGATATGCCACCACCCTTGCCACACAAGACGAAAAAGAAATCGGTATTGAAAAGACCTTTGACGGCCATTAAAAATGCTTTTATGAAAAGTACACGTCCTCTGCGAAGGATAAATAGCATGTCCGATCCCGATAGGAAACCAAGTAAGTCGGCATTGCGTAGACAAAATTCAATGCTAGAGCGAGGCATGCAAAGGCCCTACTATCCCGATGAATATCCCACATATCCGGCTGGATTTGATGAACGATACTATGGTGGAGGACGGGGACGTAGTGTGCCACCAAATGCCATGAGAGGGCGAGAACAGTATTATGATCAGGTGCCACAGAACTATGGTACGGTACCCTATCCTCCGCATCACTATCAGCAACAGCAGGAGATAATGAATAGTACCTATCAGAATTTGGGGGAAGAAGATATTTATGGCCACATGGGCACAGTGCCGGGAAGAGAGCACATGTCACGAGAACGCTCATATGATCCCTATGGGGCTAACTACCCCGAACAGGATGACATCTATGCCAATCGTGCCTGCATTGATTTAGAGCGCAGACAAATGGAGGCGGCACAAAATCGTAATGGCAAGAGGATTATGAGACGTCATAGCACCACAACAGCGGATCGTGCCAATGGAAGACGAATACTGATGCCAGCCAATCCGCAAGGAAATTATGAACAAGATGATATCTATCAAAGTAAACAGGGGGCCTATATGCTGGACAATCAGCGAAGAGCTCCCAATTCAGAAGTTATGGCAAGGAGACGATTCTATCCGGGTGCGGCCAATGAACAGGCTGAAATCCATGAGCCAGTCTATCAATCTCGGCGGGAGATGCAGCGGGAAATGCAGCGCAGCCACCTCTATCAGACTAAAAAAGAAATGCAGGATCGTATTACCCAGGGTAAAAGGGAAATGGAACGAGAATTTAGTCCCCAAAGTGGTGGTAGTCAATCGGAAAAATCCGATGATAAATCCGAAAAGGAGCCCATCTATCAATCGCGAAGAGAGGTCAAAGAAAGTGCCCTCAAGACACGAGCCCAATTGAGGGAACAAATCTATCAGACAAGGCGGGAGACCTTAGATAGTATGGCCGAACCGTCATATGTCTCCAAGAGAGATATGGGTAGGCCAGAACCCATTTATGAGACAAAAGAAGAAAGCATTTTGCAATCAAGAGAAAATGAAACGGATGAAAAGAAGGAGGGTAAAACCGAAATAAATACTCAGGCAGAGATAAATCATGAAACGGGACGTCTTAGTCCCACAGAGTTACAAAAATCCTGTGATACCGTAATTGAGGCGGCGGCTGCAGCCCCCTTGGCCAAAAACGAGGAAGATGATTTCGAGGAAGCAGAAGCTACAGCCAGGGATTTCGATAGATCTGAAATGCCCACAGTCATTGAAAATAAACACAATCAGGGTATGTTGGAGCAGACTACCATTGAGGTTAATAATGAGACCCAGGATATCTCTGATGATGTGTTTGAAACGCCACAAGCGGTGTCCTCACCCTTGGTGGTGGAAGGACCACCCATTGAACCGTTGGAACCACCAAAACCCACATTGCCACTAACACCCCGTTCCAGTCGGGCACCTTTTCACATTTCAAATATTCTAAAAAGAACCGGTCCACCACCCCTTAAGAAAATCAGTGATAGTCGTACATCCATTGAAACGCATTACACATCGCAGGCTAGTCTGCCCGTGGGCCCACCAAATGCCACAAGTACTCCGTACACAAGTAATATGTCATTGCCCATAGCGGGACCGGTACCAACTTCAGCCCCAGCGGCTGCTTCTATACCTGGCAAAGGATCATTCCCCACTCAACCGCGAGAGCCAACCACATGTCGTGGTATATTCGATTCAAATGGTGGCACTCTGGCCGATAATGTATGGAATGTTTCACTGGAAATACCACCCGGTGCCATTGCACCCGGTGTGCGTCAGGAAATCTATTTTACTGTCAGTGATCCTCGTATGGGTCAGGCTGTTGGTGGTCCACCATTGGATATGGAAAATGGTTTGTTCTACTTTTCTCTACTTCACCTCTCTAACAACTGTCTTTCTCCCTCCTTTTTTTCTGTGTTTTGCGTTTCTCTCTACACACATATTTTTTTATTATTAAAAAAAATTGTTTTTTTTTTATCGATGTGTTATTAGATTTTTTTTAAAACTAAACCGAAATCTTTTGTTATATATTTTTTCGCAATTATTGAAATTTTTTTGTTTTTTTTTTTAATAATTGAAATTATTATATTTTTTTGTTTATTATTTATTTTGCATACCACTTGATGTTTTATACTTTATTTCCATAATTTTTTTCTTTGGTCTTAATAAAAATTTTGTATTTTATTCTTAATAACAAATTCTTTGTATTTAAATTTTGGCATGTCTAAAGTTTTACTAACCATATTTATTTTATATTGCATGAACTTATGATTTTGTTTTAATATTTTGTAATAAATTGTTGTGTGTATTAGTTTTTAAGATTTCAAAATCTAATTTGACCAGTATTGTAAGCAAATTTCATACAAATGTTGACTCAATTTTCCATTTTGTTCTAGGAGTGAATAGTACACTCCCAATCTGAAAATTGATATTATGGGTTCACAGTCCGTATATTCAATATTTTTGAAGCATTCAAGCCATATAATTCAACAAATGTTTTTGAAATTTCGTATTTTGATTCCACATTTTCCAATGAATATCGTTTTCTTTTTTATTTATATTCATAATAAATGTATTTTTTATGTATATGCAGGGTGAGATAAAAAAAAACTGCAACAAAGTCAAACGCCATAATTTTTACATTTTTTTTAATTTTATTGAATGAAAGAAAAAATGTCGAAAATAGCATCAAATAAGTTTAAATTTGTTCGAATTGGCACGAATTATTGTCTTCAAACGGCCAATGAAACCGTCACACGCTGCCCGAATGTTGCTCTGTGGTATTTTGGTCCATTCCCGGCGAAGCGCTTGTTTGAGGTGATCGACACTTTAGTATTTTTAAATGCCAACCTTGCTTTCGGAGAGAGACGATCGGCTGTTATGGCGGCCCACACCATCACCATGGCCGACGCTTGAGTTCTGGTGGCCAACCGAAGGTGCACATTTTCAGCAAGTAAACACTAACTGCTGGACAACGAATGTTTTCTCATCGGAGAAAACCAAATTCAGCAGTTAACCACTTTCGGCCAAGCGAAGCAAGACATAGATTAGCCACATTTTTAGCCATAAAGCTGAGGGTATAAAAAGTCCTGACAGCAATGAGTTCTGTTACACTTTAAAAAAGAACTTCTATACCCTTCACCATAGTATGGAGGAAATCACTCTGTCTGTGGAAATCACTTTAGCTCCCGAACGAAATAAAGTAGATTCATAAAATTTTACTCAAATGTATATTATGCCTGCACGACTCTTGGTATTGAAAATGGGTCATGTATATCCACGTTTTGTTATAACCCCATACAAAGTTACCTCCCTATTTTCGGTATTTTGGTGATTTAAGCGACATTATTCACCGGAAATGTTTCAAATTTGGTATTTGAAGTTTGTAATGAATACTACAGCCTATGACAGAAAATTGTCTGTGCAGGTCCACGCCTTCATATAGCTCCAAATATAACGGCATCTCCCGATATTAGGTATTTTGATGATTTCAGCGGCATTATTCACCGGAATTGTTTCAAATTTGGTATTTGAAGGTCGTAATGGATGTTACAGCCTATGACAGAAAATTGTCTGAGCGAGAAAATTGTCCACGTCTTCGAATAGCCCACATTCGATATTTAATAGGTTTTATCTACATTATTTACCGATTTTTTTTTTCAAGATTAGCATTTGAATATAGACCCGCGTCGCCGTATAGGCCCTAATATAACGGTTACAATCGGTTAAAATCTTGTGTATATTCTTACCTTCAACTAACCTTAAATATTTTCATAAATAACCATAAAAAGGTCTACTTCACAAAAGATATTTTTCTCTTCTCACAAGTAAACGCTCTCATGCTCTTTTCAAAGTATACAACCGTTCCCATGTCATGAAATATCAAATGCATATTTCCAACAGGGTTTATTCCAAAGACCATGTTTTTATTAAATCGTGCCCCATTGGACTTCTTTATTAATATTTGTAAAGATTGAGAACCAATATAGTACTCATACAATTAAATGAAATTAGGATTTTTTTTGAGAAGTTTTATATATGGTAAATCCATGTTCCGCCTGTTGATGAATGTCAATGACATCTCATAACTCTTAAAAAATAATATTTTTTGTTTTATTAAAATATGCTTGTTTCTTTTTCCTCTATGTTTAATATGTATTTTGTTCTAACTAATGCATTTTCCAAAGCATACTTTCAGGCGTAAGTTCTATCAAAATCACCCCTTCATTTATTTTATTGCATGCTACATAATTTGCATTTACAACTTTCTAACTTTGTTTTCATTATTAGTACTACTAATATTTTAATAATTTCAACTATTTACAAACACACATACATACACACATATTTATTTACAACATAAAGAATACACATCTTCTGCATGTAATATTTTACATTTGAAATTTACTAATCCCTCTGTTTTTTGTATTTTCTTTCCTCCCCAATTGCAGGTGAAACAATGCTCTCTCCCCTTGTAATGTGTGGCCCGCAAGGTCTTGAATTTTTAGTACCAGTTACCCTCAATATACCACACTGTGCCGGACGAACAACATCCTTGGGTTTGGCACTGAAAGCCACAGATAGTGAAAAGAACATACACACCGAATGGGATAATATTGATTTGCCCAGTAATGCGGCAGCCCACACAGTCTCCGTTAAAGTAGATCATTTCTAAAATAAATAAAAATTAGTTATACTTTAGCTATTATATATAAGTTATTATTAAAAACAAAAAGAGATAATCAATGTATTATTTGCATGTAAATATTCATTACAAAAAATTGTTTTATAGTTTTATAAAGAAAAGAAAAACGAACAACATTCAACAGAAAACTAGACGCAATAACGCTATGATAAAGTCATGGGTATAGTTTGTGCCTTGAGCAAATAAAAAAGAAGGAGAGGAAAATAAATGGGAAGTCAGTGATGAAACCCCACCCCCTCCCATTATAATTTAAAATTAAAACGAACGACTTTCAAAAAAAGGTGCATGATTTTTGAAAGGAAACGACGATGCAGTAAATAATTTTTAAATTTAAGAATAATATTACAATAAAAAAACAAAATCCTATTGACACAGCATGTATTTTGTAAATATTTATAGCTATTATTTTTTTATTCTATTGAACTTATTATTATAATATTTTGTTTTTATATATTATAAACATTAGTTATGACCTATCATTTCTTTTCTCTCTCACAAAACAGAAAACAAAACGTATGAACATAAAAAACGATATTTAATTTTAGTTACCTTTCATTTAATTGTTTATTAATTTTAAGCATTTTAAATGTTTATTTCTGTTTCAAGCAACAAATTCTTATTTTTTTCTGTATGCTTTAAATATGTTTAAAAAAAACTTCTAAATATTTAATTTTTTCTATTAATATGGTTCGAAGAATTGAAAAAAAAAAACTTCAAAGCTAATGCAAATGAATGTTATATTTTTAAATGTTAAAACAAAAAAACAACAACCTCGTCGTTAAATAACACTTGAAAAAACTATTATAATTTGTTTGTAATACATTATAATATTAATATAATTATTATATTATAGCTATACTCATAACTACACTATTCACATTTATTCTTATATATATGAAAACAAAAAACATACATATTTACAATACATACGACAACATACTCCAATCCACACAGAGAAGAATAAATCATTACAAAATAAATAAAACAAAACCACAAAAATAATAAAAAAGCTTCAATAAAAAATTAAATAAAATAAAAAACGAGATATTTCAATTTATTTTTTCAAGGCAAGTTCTTAAAGGTATACAAGAGAGGAGAGGAGATAAGCAATAGAAAGTAAATACCAACAAGTACAAAAAATAATTCTTCAAAATTTAGATTTAAGTTAAGGTTTTATTCCTGGGCCTTTACTCTTAGATTAGGCAGTTGGGGAAGATACCTGAATAAGAAAGGGGGCCTACATTGTTCATATTTTGTTATTAAATTTCGTTAATTTTTAACATTTTTATGATTACATCTCCATCCCCTGGAGTCGACATTATCCAACTTCAAAATTGAACTAAGTTTGACAAAAATATATGGATATCCGAATTTTGAAGTAAATTGGCCGTATCAAATTACATTATTTCTGTAACAGAGGATATAAAAACAGTCCAAAGTTATCATTTTCGTAACTTTTTAAAAGAGGTCACTATTTTTGGTACTTTTGAAAAAATTCTCAAATGACGTCAAATTATTACTTTCGGCATTAAGTATTTTTTTATATCCTCTATATGGCCAGAAATACATAACCCATTCCCGTACCACCTGGACTTTAAGGAGACAATATATAAAGTCCAAAAACAAAACAGAAATTCAATACAAGGGTGGTGTTCCCCTGCCTGACTATGTTTTACAAATTTCCAATTCCACCAAAATCTTCTAAACATTATAACAAGTAAAAAAGCTCTAGGTTCGGCCGTACCAAATTTGGAATACAAAGACGTGGACATGCACAGACAATTTTCTGTCATATTCTGTAGTATCCATTACGAACTTCAAATACCAAATTTGAAACAATTCCGGTGAATAATGTCGCTAAAATCATCAAAACACCAAATATCGGGAGGTACCATTATAAGGGGCTATACCAAAACGTGGACCTGTACTGTCAATTTTCTGTCATAGGCTGTAGTATCCGTTACGAACTTCATATGCCAAATTTGAAACAATTCCGGTGAATAATGTCGCTAAAATCATCAAAATATCGAATATCGGGAGGTACCATAAAATGGGGGCTATATGAAGACGTGGACCTTTACAGACAATTTTCTGTCTTAGTCTGTAGTATCCATAACGAACTTCAAATACCAAATTTGAAACATTTCCGGTGAATAATGTCGCTTAAATCATCAAAATACCGAATATGGGGAGATAACGTTATATGGGGACTATGAGAAGACGTGGACCTACATGGTCCATTTCGATAGCAAAAGTCCTGCAGACATAATATACGTTTGAGAAAAATTTTATCAATCTACTTAATTTCGTTCGGAAGCTAGAGTGATTTCCACAGACGAACGGACATCGCTAAATCGACATAGAATTTTATGCTGATCAAGGATATATAAAATATATATTTCGAGGTGTTACAAACGGGATGACAAACTTACTATACCCTCCATACTATGGTGGAGGGTATAAAAATGAGAAATTAACGTTATTTGTGAAATCGCTAAAAATGTCCCATTATTTAAAATATTTTTATAATATTGACTATATAGTAAAAACTACAATATTTCCTCTAACCAGCTGCGCAAGTTTCATTAAAATAACTCAAGTCATTGCGGAGTTATAGCCAATTGAACTTTGACTTGTGTTAAAATATAGCTGCTAAACAGTTCTGGGCGCCTGCTACCACAAATGGAAAAATACAGACTTTTTACATATCTTGAAGAGGCACAAAATAACAGCGAATGTTGCCACCTGTTGCTGCATTAACAGTGAGTTTAAAATTGTACGAAAATTAAAGCATGATTTTAGGGATAACTTTACAATGCAAAGTCAAGGGGACAAAAATGTATGTCTGCGTATAATTAAAACGCCTAAGGATATGCTTTAAATTTATAAAATTGTAAAACAGTCAAGGGGAGATATTGGCATTTTCAAAAACTTGATATAACTCCCAACATAATTTGAAGGTTTTTTCCTTTTAAATTATAAAATTACACATTAAGTTTTACTCTTTAATAAATATATTTATTTATTCATTAATTAATAGATTTTTGTATATATTCTCAATATATATTATTGTTTTCTTTTTTTTTAATATATTTGCAAATTTTATCTAAATTTATTTAAAAAAATTGTTTGTATGTATATATGCATTAGATTCGTTTCATAGATCGATCAAACAAAATGTTGTGTTCTTATTTTTTCGATTATGTGACAACAGTCGTACACACGTTATTGTACATGGTTAGTATAATTTAAATAGCTAAGAGAAATAATACATAGATTATTATAAACTTTATATGCAATAATAATAGTAGTAATAAAAAGAATTATTATTAATGATAAAAAAACAGTCATTTCTTTTAATGATAACTCTATGTATATGATAAGATATACATATATACGAAAATAACAGATGGGAGCGTGGCGAAGAAAACTTAAATACATTAGCAGTTTACGAATTGGAGGATGTTGATGTTAACATGGCATCGGGTTCAGGTATTGTTGATACAGCTTCCTTAACATAACCATAGATTTGTTTGCGCGTATCGGCCACAACGTCACGTACCATATTTTTGAAAAATGACGTATGATGTGGTGCCTCCGCATAACGATCATAATGATCGAGAGAATCTTGTAGTTTTAGCGTAAGATCGTAATTTTTTCTCACCACATCCAAAATTTGTTCTTCCGTCGGTGTTGAGAGGCCCTGTTCGGCCAGCCATTCTTTGATTTTATTTTGGAAATGTTTAACAATAGCCAAAATGTTAACCAAGGCATTTAATAGCTTTATAACATCATCCTTATATTCACAATCAGGCATGGTGGTGTAGCGGAGGACTGAAATTGAAAAAAAGGGTTTAAAATAATTGAAGGAAGTGCAAGATATTTAAAAAAGGAAGAAAGGGGATTTATAAGAACTGGATCTAAGAAGTCCGTCATCGATTTAGATAAATTATTTGTTTCAAGTTTCTTGAAATGTCCAATTTGCAGCTTTGAAATATTCAATTTGGAAAGGAACATAGAAATTAAATTATATTATCCTCGTTATAAACCTACGAAAGGGGTTTAAAAGTTTCTTGAAAATAGCTTTCTTGTAGGCCCTTGAAAGAGGTTAATAATTTTTTTACAAATATATGCGTTGTGGGCACTGGGAAAAATTTCTAAATATACACGTTCTAGGATATTGGAGAATTGTTCTTCTTCAAAAAAAAAATCTTCTTAAAGCCTTAAAGGAGGTAACTGAAACATATTCAAAAATACCAAGTTATAGACACTTAGGGCTTTTCAAATTATTTAAAACTTTACTTTAAGGGCGCTTGTTAAATATCGTCAAGTCATCGAGACAGGTGAACCTTGCAAATTCGACTCTAAAGGCGACCATAAGACTGCAAGGACAAAAACAATAACCTACCCATTGCATGCAGTTCCGTGAAAACTTTCTCTTCTCTATTCAATTCATAATACAGCTCATCATAGCTATTGGTGGTAGCCAAAAACGTATCACCATATGTTATAAACAAATTGAAAATATTAACAACCTAAAAATATTCAAATAAATTAATTTTTCCATTCACTTCAAAAATGGATCCTTACATACCTGCAACGACAAATGAAATATATTACATTTCTTGACCAATGTCTGTTCCTGATTCACCAAAAACCGTAGCAAACCAATCAGGGCGGACCACAACTCTTTCCAGGGATAATTCAGACGCACTCGACAACGTTTCTGATAACACAGTATGCGATGTATAACACCAATACACAACAGATATAGTTCCATGGGGAATTTCTTCATTAAATGTGATACGATAAATTCAACCAAGAGATCCAATAGAGTAGCAGCCAAGGGTTGGGATTTGCCCACACGATCAACATTTAATTTGCGATGACGCATTTGGGCACGATGCAGCATAACTTTAAAGGTTAAGTTGCTATCATGCATCATGGAATTGGCATATTGATCTTCGGAAATGCAGGTTAGTATTAGGAAACACAATTTCAAATTGGCAACACTGGATTCGTTTTTGTTATCCTGCATTACAATGGAACTGCAAGGTAAATGGAAAAACAACGAATTATTTATTTTTCAAGGATTAAAGAACCAAAACCTCTTACCAATATTGAAAAACAGCCACCAACAAATTCGTTGGATACTGGGTCATATCGATGATGGGTGCATTTGCCAAATCCGGCACTGGTTGTGTTAAACTTAACGTATTACTGGGCGAGGGTGGGGCACTTGATTCGGTTTGTGTGTGGGCCAAAGTTGTGATAAAGTTCCTATTTAAATGCACCGCCTCATAGAGGGCCAGCAATAGACCATTATTGGCCTTGATCTGTTGTACACGTTCACAGCCCTCATCCGACACAAACATATTACCCACAATATTCGACAGCGATGAGAACCACGATGATGATTGTGCATTATTAAGGCTTTGCATATATTGACGACAAAAATCAATTAACGACTGTGATATCATTTGTCCATATCCATTCAGGGCTAGTTCATCGGCCAAAATAGATAATTGCACTATATAAGGATTGGTAGCTTCATGTTTACGATAATTAACCAATATTGTAAGAAGTATAACAATATCATGACCATGTTGGGCTCTCAGCGTTGGATCACTCAACAGTTTTACAAAGGCATCGAACAAGGTGTTCATCATTAAGTATTCCAGCAGGACATTTTGACTGACATTATCCGTACCCGTGACCAAAACTAATAGCAATTTTAGGCACATGAAACGGGCATTTTCTGGGACATCACCTGTGAATATAGATCAAATTAAATTCATATGAACTAAATAAAAAGAGGCCACAAGACTAGATCTGGCTTGTTCAGGCATTCTAGGAATTTATGCCGCTACTCACCCAACAATATCCGATTACAATGTACCATTAGCTGTTTCATCCATTTATCCATATGCTCATAACCAAATATATCATTCAATATATCATATGAGGTATCTGCTGTTGATTTTTTAAATATGCCATAGAACAGGGAACACAAAGTCTGCATGCTATTGCACAAACGTTTGGGATGATCTAAACAAATGAAAAAAAAATATTAACAAATCTAGCCACACCCTGTTGCTCTTAGTTTTCCCACAACATACTGTGAAGTTTTTGTTGCTTTAACTACAACTTGCTCCTCTCTACTCACCGGTATCCAACATTTCTATACATTTCTGGAAAATCATATTCAAATTTGGCTTTACCACAGCGAATTGTTCACCCGTCAACTTGGTAATTTCACCCTCCAACACCTCAACATTGGGTTGCAACAAAAAGAATTCATTCCAAAATTCTGAATGTTCAGGACGACGTTCTTGACTAGGATCTTCACCACGAAAGAATAACTCATAGATGTAGACGACCTTTTCTTTGGGTCTCTTTGAGGAACCGCTACCACTGCGTTTACGCGATGTCATATTTGTTAAACAAAATTAATAGGGGGCTATTGTATTTTAATGGTTTGTTTTAATAGTTTTCTTTCAAAGAATCTGGGGAAACTATCCTTTATTCGTGCTTTCTTTTGTGTGTCGCAGTCAATTGAAAACGTCATTTATTTGCCTTGCTAAAGCGTTGGTAGGTTATGTGTTGGCTTTGTGATTTTCGTTTGACAGTCAACAGCTGTTCTCGTATTACATGTTGATTAAGGGTTATTTAGATTTAAAGATTTATAATTGAAGTGCTGTTATGTATGAAAATAATTATTTTTTTTAATTACCAAAACAAATTAAACACACTAATAGAGGCTTTTTCAATGTAATAAATCCAGAAAAGTGGCGGTTGCATAAAAATTAAGAAAAAAAATTCATCAAAGGAAGTTAGAAAGAAGTGAGAAATTTAAACTTCGTATTAAATAAGAAAAATACAACTCTGTATTAAAGTTTATTATTATTTTAAATAGATTTTTAAAGCATGCAACTATTTGTTTCGATTGCTTCAAAATTTTTATAAATAGAAAAAAGAAAAAACATAAGTGAAATGTTGGCATTTATTTTTATAAAATTAAATTTAAACATGAACTTCAGCAGAATATGAAAATATTTATGTTTATTTTGTATATACCATGGTAGAAGAATATAGATAGACGCATCGACACAGCTGCTGGGACAATGAACTGTCAAAACAATTTTTGAATTGAAAATGTTGAATGAAAAATTATTTAAATTTGTAAAAATTGATGAAAAACGCGAATTATAATGACCTCCGAATGACGTCGTATAAGAAAACATTTAAAAATCTACTTATATTTGAAAACACATTTAAAAATTTTTGACATATCAATGTTTCCAAGCGTTGATGCATCTACCTGTATTTTTCTACCATGGTATATACAAAGACTGCGTATATGTTTTGACATTACAAGGAAATTGTGGATTCAGATCATTTATATGACTTACATTGTAAGGGATTGCATAATAGGTCTGACAAGACCACTGAACGAATTTCCTTCAAAAAAGTTCAAGTGTGACCTATTGTCAAAAACAGATGTGCGTTGACACGACCTAAGGAAGTTTAGCGGAAACGGTTCCTGACTGTAGACCTATTATTACGAGCCGAAGGAACTCTTGCCAAAAAACTGATTTGGGTTATTCTACCAGCAACCAAGCTTAAATGAAATTTAAAATATTTTCTTTAGGAAGCAGAGTTTTTTCACACAAACTACATTACGCTGATTAATATTAAAATTACGGGAAATGGTCCGCCAAATAACAATGTTGTATTAAGAGGGGGAGATTACCGAGATTACCCAACACAAATGAAATTCAGAGATTTTCATTTATATTTTGTGATAATACAATTAATAATGCATTTACCTCAAGACAGACATCGGCATGAGCTTAATTCAATTTAGTTTATTCTCAGAGCTTGCGATAATAAAGTAACCATTGATCCCGAACTGCAGCAGTTCATATTCGAAATGTTGTCATGGTTTAATCGTATACAATCAACCATTATCATAGGATGTTTGAATATTTTCATTTACTGTATGTTTGCTGCTGTAATTTTGGAAAATTTGGAATATGATCGATTTCATGAGTATGACTATGATGACTATAGTGACATATACAAGAGTTATGAACAGCGGGAACATCGAAAATTATATTGTATGATCTATGTGATTATGTGTGGAATAATGATGTTGCTATCGGCTTTGCTGATATGGGGCACTGTGAAGGTTAAAATTGTGAAGATTTTGTAAATGTATATTAACGTTTTACTAAAATATAGAAACGACCCCCATACATGGCCCCTTGGCTCTTGGGTTCATTTGTTGTCTTGGTGTATAGCAGCATCGTGGTTTTAGATGATATATTTTTAAAATCCTCGTTTGTGGGTGTGGCCAATGCGTTTTTATTTTTCACTATACTTTTCATTGTGTTTGGTAAGAATCAAATCGAATCAAACAATTTTTATTTAAATAATAAATTATTTTTTCTAATACTTTTAGGTTTCCAGACATTTTGTTTGGCCCTGGTGTACAGTGTATACAGGAACTTTCAATTGGAAATTGCTTTAAAATATTCACGAAAGCAATTGCATGAGGAGATCCAGCAAGAGTGCTTGGAAGAAATTGCCCCAACATTGGCGACAGAGATAAAATCAGAATCAAAAATTGAAAGCAACAAGAAAAAATCGTATAGGAAGTTAAAACAAAAATAAATTGTTGCCGTAATTGTGGATTATCTAAGGTTATTTTAAATACCATCATTTCCATGGTAGAAATAAGAAGGTGAACTCGTGAAATCATATGTTTACAATTTTTTCTAAATTATATGACATCTCATTCTCAAAATGTATATTTATGAAAATTCAAATGGAAAATTATAGGAAAATTTAGAGCAATACAAATACGAACAATATAAAGTTGTTTGAATTAATTCTACCAAGACCATTTGTTAATGACTTATATATGTGAAATAATTGTAATCAAAAATTTAGTCAATATTTATATATTTTTTATACCCTCAGCCATAAGGCTAGAGAGGGTATATATCATTTGATACGGCCAAAGCGTGCCTCATCGTCGGTCTGTCTGGCTGGCTGGTGCGCACGATAACTCTCGAAGAGGATATTCGATTTGATCCAAACAAGGTACATCGTAATATTATTATCAAACTTAGATCGAGTTCGGAGATGGGTAATATCAGTCCACTCCACAAAGGGTTCAAATTTTCAAAGAAAATAATTTACTGCACAGAAAGAGAAAAGATAATCCGATTTTGCTCCAACTTTGCAAATCCTAACATTTGCATTAGTGCTACGTCATGTGCGAAAATGGACCACATCTGTCCATTCCATCCAGTACCTCCCCCATAAATGGTTAACATTTTGAGGATTTTAATTATAACTCTTATAAAATGCGATATAGGTGTCCGATTGCCTTCAAATGACACACATCGCAATATTCTTGTTCACCCAAGGTCTGGTGTGAAGATGGAATATATTGGTCCACTCCTTCTGGTACCTCCACAAAGGGTCAAAATTGTGAATATTCATGAAGCTCATAAAACGCGAAAATCACATCTGATTCCATTCAGACTTGGCACATTTAATATTTTCATAAGCTAAAGATCTGTTATAAAGATGGAAGAGATCGGACCATTTCTTTTGGTACCTCCGCCACAAAGGGTCAACATTTTGAATAACAAAAACAATCATAAAATCCAAAATAAGCATCCGGTTCTCTTCAAATTATACACATCACAATATTTTTATTATACCAAGGTCTGGTGTGAAGTTGGGATATATGGGTGCACTGCTTCTGGTACCTCCCCTACAAAGTGTCAAAATTTTGAGTATCAATGAAGATTATAAAATGGGAAATTAACATCCGATTCCATTCAGACTTGGTACATCTCAATATTTTCTTCAACACTAGATCTGTTAAAAAGACGATAGAGATAGGACCATTTCTTCTGGTACCTCCCCCACATAGGATTCAAGATTTTCCAAAACAAAACGCTCAAAGAAAGCGAAATAAGCATTAAATTCTCTTAAAATGTCACACATACAAGTATTTTCGCTAACGGAGAATCTGTTGTGAAGATGATATATATCTTCGAACCCTTTCAGGTACCTAACCCACAAAGAGTCATAATTTGCAAAGCTTCTATCTGTCATAACTTGCGAAATAAGTTGGCGATTCTATACAACTTGCTATATCTACAGTCTTTAATAAATCAGCGAATCTTGCGAAAAAAGTTGGCGATTCTCTTAACAAGAAATCTGATATGATTATGTAATTTATTGGAATTTATGATTTCGCATAAAATTGGATATAAATGTTCGATTTCCTTCAAATTTTGCACTACCAATATTTTTATCTGTATTAGATTAAGTATGAAAATGGAATACTTCGGTCTGCTATATCTGTTACCTCATGTGTATTTCCACATATCTCAAAAAGTAAAGGAATTAGTCGATATAGACCATATCTGGCACTTTGTAATATTTATATCATGATTTACATTCAAACGAATATATATTTTTCCTTAAAACAATTTTTTAGAGCATATTTTTTGTAATCTCAGAATTTGCTTTGGAATTATTTTGGCAGAAAAAATCGCGGATTTATTAAAGACTGTCGAAAAAATGTTAATATTTAAAACCCCCCATAAGGGGTTAAGATATATATTTCTTGGAAACAACAACTTGATAAAAAAGTTTGAGAAGATTGGAATACAAACAAATAGACATACACAGCATACAAATATGTTTCAATACGTAAACATCACACACCATTTCATGCCACTCTCTCGAACACGTAATGTCCATAATTTGTTTGTTTTTTATTTATTTACTTGCTATTGTTTGGATTTAAAGCTTCCATTGTTTATTGCTGTGTTCGGACGATTGGTTTCTCGGCCAGGCTTTGGCCGGCTGCTGATCATTAATTTGCGTGTATAAAATCAACAACAGCAAAGCTTTCAGGTTTAGTTGAGATTGAAGTGTAACCTCGCTTTGAACTTGTTAGCCATAGCTGTGATTTATTTATTTATTTTCTGAAAAAAAGTGACCGATATTCAAACAAACAAACAAAGATGCGTTTTGCTTTGGGATTTTTCTTGGGTAATTATAAATTATATACTATAGTATACAAATAAATAATCCTATGCCATATGTCTAGTGCGTAGATAAGACATCAAAATGGATGGTTTTGTTCTGGTTTTTAGAATTTCAATAAAAATTACCATAATTACATTAGTGATTCAAAATGTCTGGTCAAGACCATCACGTACCCACACACCTGATAATTATGTCTGTACTTAAATGCTTAATTGTTTCAATTGAAAAAAAAAGATATGATAACATCAACTAAATTAATGTACAAAACAAATTTTTAATTGACTGTGTGCAAAATGCTTATCATCCATCCGTTTGTGAATATGCCAAGTTTTCACTCTGCTGATGATTAATTCAGTGGAAATTTAAGTTTTAATTATTCGCGCATTAAAATCCAGAGTATTCTACTATTTCGATTTAAATTAACGTACACTGGCCAACAAACAAAAAAACCTGATCCAAATTTCTATACAAAAAAATGGAAATGCAAACTCAATTCGATATCTAAAAAACTTCTTAATTGGCCTTGCATCTAATGATAACGCCTTAATGGTTTTCCATCTACAAGAGAAGAACTGTGAAGAATCAGTCTTCCATCAACACCCAGGGCCCTTCTCCCTACAAAAGACTTCAAGATAAATCTTTTATCCTCTCCTGTTTGGAATTCTTCTATTGCCATAAATTTCTCGATTAGGTTCCTTTAGATGTCTTCTTGGTTTGGCTGTGCAGCTACACAGATGTTGACAGCTTCTTCGCTTGAAGTTGTGTCCACTTAGAAAGAATAATAAGACATAGGAGGAGGAAAGGTATATAACTAGAATAGAAGAGTTTGACTCCTGTTTTATAATTTTTATCTGTAGAAAATTTCTTGATAGATCTTGAATCTAAAGATAACGCTAAAGAATCAGTCTTCCATAAACAAAATGCCTTTCTGTCTACAACAGACCTCAAAAGAAATATTTTTTAGGAGGACATCTATTGAGAATTCTCCTATGGTCATAAAATCCTAGATTATAAATGTGTTCTTAGTTTGAATGCCCAGCTACATAAGAATCGACAACCATTGACTATATTCTAGAAAGGATAATCAGAAATCTTACGGAAAAAATATGTTGAGGTTTGAAGAGATGTTTTTGTATAATGGTTTACATAACCAGGAGAGGTTTTTAGCAAACATACATATGCAGCATCAGTGCCTTCATCCATCTGGGAACCATCTATGTAGATAGCAAGACCTCCCAAGTATTATTACATAGGTGTAGTTGAAGTCCAAAAAGGTGGGCATGTAATCATTAATTCAGCTTTAGCTTCACCAAAAATATTTCGACTTCATTATCAAAGGGCGAAAAGTACCATCCCTTCACTATCCGTAGTCTTGGCGCACTCTTCTATTAACAAACGATTTTTGTGAGAGACTTATAGAAAAAAGGCCTGTTGAGAGTTCTTTAATCCATGGAAGATTTCTTTAATCCATGGAAGAGTTCTTTAATCTACGGAAGACCTCTTCAAGGGTCACATATCTCTAGAAATCAAGTCCCATTGAAATCAAAAGTATATTTGAAGGATTTAAGAGGCTTTGTTCTATTGACACCCTAAAAGGCATTCTTTTCCAGAAAACATTTTGAAAGGATATCCCTAGAAGACCTCTTTAAGAGTCTTGAATCTGGCATTTCTCGAGAATTACCGTCCTTGAAGTGGGAGGATGTACATATTGAATACACGTATTCTTCATACAGAAGACTCCGCGGTCTTTAGATGACTCCGGTAGAGTCTTCTATCTCTAAAAGATTCATTTAAAAAGTTTATAACTTTCCAGAAGCAAACTTTTTACCAGGGAATTTTTAAAAGTTGAAGACGTCGCAATATTTCTCTCATAACTGAAAAATCTTACATGGCCCTGCTATAGGTAGAATACCTTTGCAAATATTTTCTTAGTTAGGAACCTCTTTGGTATTCGTTAATGATCGAAGTACTTTCAATGCCTTCTAACCAACAGGTTTTCTTTTTAACAGAAACAAATACACAAGTTTTTCCCGGATAACATTGTATCCTTTAAGAGGCCTTCTCTACAAAGAATGGATTTTGCAATATCTTCACCCTAACAAAGAAATTCTACAAATTTTTGATAGATTTTGAGTCGATAGAAGAATTTTTGGATCCCTCGAAAGAATTAAGATATTTAAAGACTATTGAATAGAAAATCTATAGAAAAGGTATCTTGAGTTATCTTCTTTCCGTATACGCCTTACAAGCCGTGTAGTCGGTATTTGAAAGGCATCTTCCCTCCCACCAGGTTTTCTGTTAAAAGAAACCCTTCTACAAGTCTTTCTCTGGATTCAATTGTTTCAAAGCCTCCTCTTCTTGAAAGGCATTTTACGACAATTTTTCTTTACAAAGGAATTTTGAATATATTTTTTTGAACGTTCCAGCGATAAATTTTCTCTAGAGCGGAGTTTCTTTTGCAGGATTACTGCAAAAAATTAGGGTATGGAATACACTTAAAAGGCTTTCAATCTGTAAATCTTTCTCTGTGGAGGCCCTTCCATCTCTTCTATCTTAAACGTATTATTTCTATTTGAGATCCTTTGAAATTCCTTCACTTTATTATAGTTTTATATGACCACAACTGAAAATATTTTTACTTCCAGTAATTTGCTTGGTGGCCATGGCAGTTGCTGTACCCGCCAAAAATAAGCAAGCTCCTGCCTGCTCTGCAAACTGTGGTGAGAAATACGAACCAATTTGTGCCAAGGCCAAAAATGGTAATAAGGAACGCCTCCTGACCTTTGGAAATGAATGTGTTATGGGCAACTACAATTGTCAACACAGTGATGATCGTAAGTCAATAACAAATAATACAGCAAAAGACAGAAAATTAATTATACATTTCTTTCTTACAGCCTATGAAGTCAAATCCAAGGGCGAATGTGGTGGCAATGTCAGTGTCCGTTTATCCTAAATATTTATGACAAAAATTTGGCATGAAAAATAACAATAAAAAATATATGATTTTTTTTTAACAATTAAAGCATATAATTTATTTTTGTATTGATGTTTTGTTTTATTTTGTCAGGCTTATTATGAAGAAAAGTTGAAGTATTTGCGTATATTTCTATGCAAAACGATTTTCATATATAAGTGGCATATCAAATATGACAACGTTCTGTTTTCTGTACATCCTTAAATCAGACTTAAGCTTTTCATCTTCTTCATCATCATCAAAAAAATCCTTAATGTATATTCATCTTAAATAGTTAGCATTAAAGAAAACTTTCCACGAAAGCCCTTCTTTTATACACATTTCATTTTTTTGTTTTTCTACAAAAATATTTTGTCAACAAGTTTTGTAACTACGCATACACTATGAGTACTAAATAACTAGATAATTTTCGTTTTTTTTTTTGTTTTGCTCTGAAGAAAGATCAAATAAAAATTTCGTTCTCCTTTTTGAGGTTGAATTTTCTAGATTTTTATTTCACAATTTACTTGTCGTCCTTCTTCTTTTGTTGCTTGACTTTGTAATCGGCCAAAGCCGCCTTAATGGCATCCTCAGCCAACATTGAGCAATGCAATTTGACGGGAGGCAAGCGCAGCTCCTTAGCAATGTCGGTATTTTTCAATTTGCCAGCTTCATCGATGGTCTTGCCCTTAACCCATTCGGTGGCCAAAGAACTGCTGGCAATGGCTGAGCCGCAGCCAAAGGTTTTAAATTTAGCATCGATGATTTTGCCATTTTCATCGACTTTAATTTGCAATTTCATCACATCGCCACAGGCTGGAGCACCCACAAGACCTGTGCCAACTGTCGAGTCTTTTTTATCTAAAGAACCAACATTACGTGGATTTTCGTAGTGTTCAACCACCTAGAAGAGATAGACAGTAAAAAAAAGAATTAAAAATATATTTTAATAATTTATGTGTTTAAAAAACCAACAAAACAAAGTACATGAACTTTATCAGTAGAAGACACGTTGTGATAATACATTTGTTTACAAAATAAAATAGCATGTAGAAAATGGAAAAAGGGAGAACAATTGGTCGAATAATATCAACAGATGTAGGGAAGTCTATAAACCCTTTAGTTGTTTAATTAATTATACGAAATATTCTTTATTTATACATTTAATGTAAGACTTGGAAGAACATATGTTGTTACGTATATTTGAATTTTGATTTTTTTAGTATTAAAATTTTACCCGTCAATCAAAATATTATCTCGTATGAGTGCAACATTTGAGTTATATTGCGTATTAAATTTGTTGAAATGTACTTAAAGTGCACTTTAAAGGGCCAAAAAGGAGTTCTATCCGCAGCGAAACTATATAAATTCTACAATTTTAAGATATTTACAATTCCTTTTGGAGCTATATACCTATCGAAACCATGTCGTTTTGTCAATACAACAAACATATGTATCTATAAAGGCCCTTATATTTATAGAATGTTTGTAAAGGGTAACAATTTAAAAATCTTCGGTCTGTAAATTACCATTGTTGTGGTTCCTATTTTTACAAAACCTACTTAATGTGATTAATCAAAACATATTACACTATTGTACGGAAGTCGAAACCTTTGGTCTTATGTCGTATGTATATAAATAAGTTTTAGTGGAACCTTTTTTCAACAATTTTTTTTGCGGAGTCATTCTCGATTTGTGTAGAAATGCCTACAAACCCACCTCCTTTGGTCGGTTCCGCACCGAAATTAACTGCACCTATTCCTTGTCTCCCCATTGGAACTCCCACCTTCTAATTTTGATAAATTGCCAATAACCAAAACAACAGCCGGCAAATAGGCCTTCACAACGTTTTTTTATCCCAATCACTATTCCTCTGTATAGAGTATATAACAGGCATGTTGACTAAAAAAGACCTTGAAATTTCACAGCGGCACTTTAGAGCAACAATAAACTACAACAACAACAAGCCAATCACACTATCGAATATAAAAGGGAATATTTTTACTTTTGGGAATCTATCAACAAAGAATACTTACATTCTCGTGATATAATGCGACGGGAATACTTTGAACACGTCTCAAAGGAGCTTGCAAAAGGCGTGATACTCTGGTCAATGATGACATTGTATCGATTGATTGCGAATTTTAAAAACGAAAAATTTCTTTTCACCAGGAAAATTGGAAAATATTGTGAAATACAAAAATGTTCTTTCGGTCGATTCTTGTTACGCGCAGTTATTTATTTTTCCAACGTTCTATAAGAATCCAGAGTTTATCAATCTCAGAGAATGAAGGCGGCTAGGAGGCTAACGCCGTTGAATTAAGCTGTAGCTGTGGAATTTGTTCTCTATATTTGTGTTTACAGGGAATAAATTATTTGTACATGTTATGCTAGGAACACAATTGGAGCGAACGACGAATTTCGCCCTACGCGGCGACAAAATGAGCCGCGTAAATTCGTCGTATGGAACACAATACCGACGAAATTATAAAACAGCTGATGAAGTTGTTTACTTTTTGCTCATTTGTTGACTACAATGAATTATACAAGAACACATAATTCTTTACGTTCTCTATTATAATTTCACTTATGTCCATCTTCTCTATTATAAATTCACTGATATCCATCTTCACTCAGGCGCAAGTACACAAATAAATAAACAAATTAATTATGTTTTTTTTATACGAGTAACAGATAGTAGAGTGACCATAACAAATTTTAAAGTAAAAAGTAACTTTATTTACTAAAACACATAAAATTCGTTCAAGTATGGCCACCTTGTACAGTTTTGTTCGCCGGTCGCCGGCGTATGAAATAGAAATAAAGCTAATTGAGTTCGCGGCGACCGACGAAATTTTCGCCGGTGCCGTGATTGTGTGCACTTCCATATACACATATGTGTTTTATTTTTGACGACGAACATACGCCGCGAAAAAATTCGTCGTTCGCTCCAATTGTGTTCCTAGCATAAAGCCGTAAATAGACGGTGATAGATTACAGAAAAATTTAAGATTATCGAAACGAAAGGACATGTACTTTCCGTAACCCTTTTCGCCCAATTTACACGCGTGAGATGTGATAAAATGTATTGTGCTTAAATATCTAGAATATGTACTAGACATTGAGTGAAAATTAGTTTTTATGTCTTTGTTTCTATTTATATTTGCTTTGTTTCAGACACAGCAAGAATCTTCTAGTTTTGCAATTGGTTCCGATTTTTCCTTTATGATATCGGAGAAAATTGGAACAAAGTAAATATTTATTTTTCATCATAAAGGAAAAATACATATGTATGTTATCGTAGTAACATTTTACACATTCTTGCTGTTCAGGAACAGAACAATTCATATTAATCTTTTCAGCTGACATTTGTATTACTTTTAATCAATAAATTTCCATTATTTTCTACCAACAATCAATCACTTATTGTAACTTTATATTCTTAACCATGATACTGCCTAAAATCCTTGAGATACCCATTGTCTATTTTATAGTCTGCAATTTAGTACTAATTTTGAACTATTTTTCTCTTGCTGTTCAGGAACAGAACAATTCATATTAATCTTTTCAGCTGACATTTGTATTACTTTTAATCAATAAATTTCCATTATTTTCTACCAACAATCAATCACTTATTGTAACTTTATATTCTTAACCATGATACTGCCTAAAATCCTTGAGATACCCATTGTCTATTTTATAGTCTGCAATTTAGTACTAATTTTGAACTATTTTTCTCCATATTATAAAGGAAAATTCAGTTATCGTAGTAAAAATATTTGTTTTTTTTTTAAGATCTGGAAGCGAGCATCGTTTTATGAATTTTATTCATTTTAAAGCACATAGTCTAAAGACACCTTAACCACGTGCACTCATTTGATGAAGAGAGAAGAGAAATTGAGCACATCAGCTGGCAAAAGTACACGTAAACACTGCCAATTTATTTTACCTACACTTTTATCTGCCATTTTTCGGTTTCCTCTTCATTCGTAATCTTTGGAACGTCTTTATAATTGGTTGACTTGCAGAAAAAAGTTAAGAGTTTTAAAATCGCTGGCAGACTACGAAATTCGCAAAATTATAAAATAAATATGAAGTTATACACAATTCTAATAGTCTTGGGACTATTTACCTATTCCGCTTGGGCAAAAGACACTAGCGAAGTAAAGAAAAATCAAACATTTATAGCCACACATGAATGGCAAGAAATCCCAGAAGGTAGGCAGGCTATAAAGCACGGCATATTTGTTGTTGTTTTTTAATTGTTTATATTTATTTTGTGTTACACGTTCAAGGCCAAGGAATACCACAAGGTCTGCATGTTCGAATTAACTTACAGACGGGGAAAAAGGAAGCCAAACTTTTGGATGAGGCAGATGAGAGTAGTAGTGATCCACTGAAAGTCATGCACAAAGATGGTGCATTATCTGTGTTGCCGGATGAATATGAAACGGTAAAAGAGGAAGACGACGATGACGATAATGATGAGTCGAATGGCAAAGAAGCGGCCGGAGGGAAAGCTAAAAAAGTCAAACATTTAGATGAGGCCCTCAAACGTATTGGCATCGATTATACACCCGAAGAGAAATTGGAAAATATTAAACGAGAATTTCGATCCTATGAGGAGCTAAAAAAGACTTTTGAGGGTATGCGTAAGGCCTTTAAATCGGATGGTGAAATTATCATACAACTGATTGAAGAATTCCATAATGTGACCAAGGATAACAAAGATGTGGAGGCACGTGTTAAGATTCAAACGCAAATATTGGAAAGTTTCAATTATCTTATGTCTCAATATGATAATGCCCAGCTGTTTGTGGAACAGGGCGGGTTAGATCACGTCATATTGCCCACATTGGTAAATCAAACACATGTGGGTTTGAAGGTGGAAGTAATGCGTGTCCTGGGTGCAATGTGTCAAAATAATCCCAAAGTACAAATAAAGGTCTACGAGAGGAATATAGGCTCACATCTCACCCAGATCCTAATGAGTTCTACACGTACCGAGGAGTTGTCTACAGCCTTATATGCATTCAGCAGTTTGCTGAGAAAGATTCCTCATGCCCAACAACGTATTCTGTCGACGTCTGGAACCCAGGCCTTGGTTTCCGTTTTGGGCAAAGAAGCTGAATTGAAAATAAAAGCCAAAGCTGTGACAATTATCAGTGATATAATTGTGGAAAAAGAATTGGTTCTCTCAAAATCCTCAGCAGATGATGATCCCTTGGCTGCGGCCCAATACGCTGAATTAAGTTTTCCCGAATGGCTTGAAGCCAATTCATATTGTGAAACAATGGATGCTCTTGTGACAACAAATCTCTATGAATTCCTGGAGGCACCCGACATTTTGGAATATTTCATAAATGCTCTCGATAATACGAAAACATTTTGTTCACCCCTATGGTCACAGAGTCCACAATTTCGTCACGTCCTACTGACGCTAAGAAATCGTTATTCCCAATCGGAAGATGAATATCGTTTGGATATTGCAAAATTATTAAATAATCTAATAGATAAATTATATCCTGAATCAATTAGACACGATGAGTTCTAAACTCGAAGGGTGTCGCTGTCTCATATAACATTTTAAGAATACTTAAAGGCTGTTTTTTCCTCTCCTAGAGTTTCTAGTTTTCACCACCTGGTACTCTATATGTTCCAATACCCTTTGTGATTTTCCTAGTGAATAATTTAGTTTTCTTTTTCATTTTAATTTTTGAAGACTTCCTAATTTGTAATTATAGTTTCTACGTTTCGTGAATGTGTGTGTTTTTTTAATTCCTATTTTAAATGTTAAGTTCGGACTGCACAAGAATAAATGTAAAAAAACGACACAAAATGTTTAAAGAAAATATGAAATGAAATTGTGTTTTGGTTTGTTTATAGAATTTTGGGAGGGGGTTATAAAACTCGTAGTTTCGTCTTTAAATGTCCCATTCTGTTGGTTTTTAATAATTCCTTTTTGATTTTCAATAGAGTGGCTTATTTTTATCTGTAAAATAAAACTTATTGTATATGGTTGCCTATGAATGGGTCCTATAAGGACAACTTCTTGCCATAAGGCTTGATATCAAATTTGAAACAATTCCGATGATAATTTTGGATGAAATCATTAAAAAAATGAATATCGGAAGTTACCGCTTTATGACGTGAGTCTATAGAAAAACATGGACTTTCATAGACAATGTTCTGACAGTGGAGATAGATGATATTACGAATACTGAAAGAATTTCGTAGAAAAATATGTCTAACACCCTCGAGATACTGTATATCCGTTGCCCACAAAGATTTCCTTTTGCTGCCACATAAATATGTCCTTAAAGTTGCCTTACTGAGAGCCATCTGCCAGGAGAATAAGAAATTAGTATTTCCATGTTTTCACGTTTTGTATCCTCGCCACTGACTTTTGTTGTACAGTAATTTGTTAGCCAAGCCATGAACCAATTATGTCCTTCCAACGAAATAAATGCAGTTGGAATATTTCCAGCAGTTCAGTGATGCTCGAAAACTTCTAGATATATCCCAGTTGGATTTTTTTAAATGAAATTTAAAAATAGGATTATCTGGGCGAATTCAACTCGTTGATTTTGTTAATGTTTTAATAATAATTTCCACAAATAATTATTAAAAATTAATAATAATAAAACGGTGTGACAAATTTCAATTTCATAAAAATTACAAAATTACATTAAAAATTACAAAATCCAGTAGATTATGAAGGCAGACACGTGTATCGGCGTTTTGAAAGCTTACATCGCAAAACAAACATAAATGGAGGCAGCAATAAGTTCCCTCCTTTTCAATACTTTTGGAAATTTACGAATTTAGATTCCTCGGAATCCGTGCATTTTAGGCATATAGTGTCAATCTAGTCCACATTACATTTCGTTTCGAGTTTTAATTTTTATTTGTATACCCTCCACCATAATATGGAGGGTATATTAAGTTTGTCATTCCGTTTGTAACACCTCGAAATATACATTTTAGACCCCACAAAGTATACATATTCTTGATCAGCATAAAATTCTATGTCGATTTAGCAATGTTCGTCCGCCTGTCCGTCTGTGGAAATCACTCTAGTTTCCGAACAAAATGAAGTAGGTTGATAACATTTTACTCAAATGTGTATTATGTCTGCAGGACTTTTGGTATTGAAAATGGGCCATGTAGATTCACGTCTTCGTATAGCCCCCATATAACAGTACCTCCCGATATTCAGTATTTTGATAATTTTAGCGACATTATTTACCGGAATTGTTTCAAATTTGGTATTTGAA